GACAAAGAGACGGGTGTTTTCTGGACGGGAATATGCGTGGTCGAGACAGAAACGCCCATCGGGCCCGCCTGCCCCCCTGACGTCAGCCGTGCGGGCCCCAACGAGCGGACGCCGTGCGCGAGGGACCGCTCGCTTTCCAGATACGGCCGCGAAGCAACGCCGCAGTGCGCCCGTCTCCGCGCTGACGGCCGGCGGCAATGGCCGGGCCGGCGGCGCTCCCGCGGGCGAGTGGGCTCTCTCGCGTCGAAGGCACGGGGGAGATTGCGCCATGGCTGCTGCGGCGGTCGAATTGGGTGCCGACGGCCGATTCCGCGGCGTCGGAGGGCGACGGGGGGACGGCAGGGCCGCATTCCCGAACGGCTGGGATGGGAAACAAGCGGCCGGAATGAGGGATGGAGGCGCGCTGGCGGCGTCCGACACGAGGCTGTCGGATGGTTAACGATCCGAGGGAGATGAGGTGTGGATTCCCAGATCTTCGGAGGCGGGCGCTGGTGCGGTTTCCTCACACGTTCGGTTTGCTGCCCGCTTGTCGCCCCGCTGAGACGATTCCTGACGTCCGCAGGCGCCGGCGGTGTACTGACGCAGCGGGTGGCGAACAGGAGTTGCGCGGACTCGAATCGCGGTGTTGGGACGGGAAAGGGATGGCTCCCTCTGTCTGGAAGGGCAGGGCGAAGCGTGTCCTTTGTGCTTGGCGCTCTGCGACTGCTCAGAGAGTGGCGTTCGATGGGGGAAGGCCAGAAAGATTTGCGAGGCCGCATCACAACAGCGCGAATGCGGAGTCCTCGGGCGGCGTACGCCGGCTCGCCTGGAATGGAGTCACCTCTTTTCGCGGCACGCTGCGCAAGGACGACACACTTGGTGGCAATGTTGTGTAGAACGCGCTCACTTTTCGGATCAGTGGTGATGCTCCGCACCGCTTTGGGCGTCGACCTGTCCGAGGACACCGAACTATCGCCCGTGGACGCCACGGAAACGCTTGCTTGAACCGCACACGCACGGCCATGGCTGTCCCATTCATGCGGCTTTGGTCCACCACTTCCTTGAACACGTCGGAAAGGCGTCACTGGTAGCCTCGGGTATGGGCGCAAGCGTGGCTCGAGAGTTTTCTGTGCCCTTGGGTGAAGTGTGTCACCCGCAACGCCTGTGCGGTTTGCCATCGCTGCAGCCTTGCATGGGGTGTGGTGGGCGCGCAGTTTCTTTGGTGCTACAGTGAGTACTGGAACCTTCAAAACTTCTTTATGTGCTGCTTGGCGTCACCAAATAGAAGTCTCAGGAACTCAACCCAGCCTTCATCCCAAGCACCTGCCGTGGCTTGCTGTCCTGGGTGAGATATGGTGAACAGCCTGCCAGTTTATGTCTCACTGTTTCTCACAACGCTGGCGTTTCACACCTTCACATGCTCGCGAGTTGCTCAGGACTATACAAGTGCAAGATAGTTAATGATGTTGTTCATCAGCTTACCTTGCCTCACAGACACAGTGTATGGCTGAGTTTGGCATGCGATTGACAAAGAGGGCCATTGTGTGACGATCGGTGTTTGAGTGTCTTCGTGTTGTGTACTTGTGTCATGCAGCACAGGCCATGGTCCGACGAGCGTCATGAGATCAAGGTTGATTTCCTGTGCTGGCAATGGGGCCCAGGGAGTAGATGGACTCCTATCTGGGTCGTCAAGATGCTTGGGCCGCAAGCGATGAAGCAGATCTGTCGGTTTGCACAGCAATAGGGTGTCTCGGAGGCAGGAGCGGGTTTGGCCGCAGCAAACACAGGCATGGGCCGCTTTCTGTCCCAGAAGGAGTGGTTTAGACAGCTGCGGGGGCAGTGGGTTGGAATAGATAGGCAGTGCTGTGGCGCAGGGCGTTTGCCCCTGCTCTTTGTTTGCTGATGGGGAAGGGGAAGTCGAGCGGGCGGTTTGCGGCTGGAGGCTGGCGAGGGCGCGCCTTCCTGACTGCCGAACATGATCGCGTCTCTGACGCTGGGGGGAAGGGGGGTGCGAGTGGGGATCCGCGCCGCGCTGCCGTCCGACAACCCCACAGGTGCAGCATCGCCCCGCCGCTGGCGCCACCAGCATCGGCGCCACCAGCATCACCTGCATCCAGAACGAACCCAACAACGGTGTCCACCAGCCCTGCGCATGCTCGCCGCGAGGCCTCACGCCCATGCAGCGCACCCACGCCACCGTGCCCGCCGACGCCGCGGCTGGCGGCGGCGCGACCACCCGCGCTCCCCTCGCAACCCCGCGACCCAAAAAAGCTCCCGAAAAAATGCCCCGCCGCCAGAAACGTCCCCGCTGACGTGTCCCCCCGCACGCCCAATTCCGCTTCCCCTTACCCGCGGAATCCCTGCCCCCATTCCGTGCCCCCCCCTCGCACCCGTGCGCGCTCGACGGCCCGCGCCTCCCCTCCCGCCCCCCCGACCGGCGGGCTGAATCATCCGCGCACGAAGGGACGCCCGCGCTTCCGCGGCGGGCCGGCATAAAAAAGGTGCGTGCGCAGTATTGAGGGCCCGCCCGCGGCAGGGCTCCGCGCGGCCGGCGGCCCTCGCGCCGTGGGCCGGCGCCTCCTCCGCGGGAGGCGCGGGGGGCGCCGCGCTGACTGCGGGGCGCCGCGGCGACCACCGTTCAGGGCGCAGCGGCAGCGCGCGGCGCTGCGGACGCGAGGCTTGCTGCAGGGAGGGGCCCAAGAGGCGCAGGGCGCTGGGTCCGCGGGCCCACGCGAAGCGACGCTCCGAGGGGTGGCGCCAGAATCTCGCCCCGGGATCCCGACCTCGATCGGGGCGGCCGCTTTGCGGGACCGGGGACGGCCGCGGGGCCGGCGTTGCCTGCGGCGGGGCCTGGCTGCTGAACGGGCGGACGACGGCTCAGGGCGAGCGGGGCCGTCTGCCCCAAAAGCTGGGCCATCAGGAATGGCCGTCGGGCCCAGCAATACGATCTCAGCAGCCCCAGCGCTGGGGGCGGGGCGGTTTTGGGAAAGGGGGCGCGGCGTGGCGCCTCAAGGCGGCCGCAGCAACGGCTAGGCGGGCTTGGATGGGTGTGGTTCGCCGCGATCGGCGCCGATGCGAAGCGGGGCAAGGTGCGCGCGTCGACGAGGCAGGCCTGCGGCCGCCGGCTTGTGTTAGCAGGGTGGCCCGCGGGCGCCAAGGCGGCCGGGGCGTCCAGCGTGTGCGGAGTGGAAATTGACAGGGAGTCGGTCCAGGGGGTTGAGCCCTCGTTGTGTTTTCGTTCGGTCTGCTGTACTGCCCGCCTCCACAGCCCGCACAATTCGACCCCGCAGCCCGCCACCAGGCCACCGGGAGCCAGCTGTGCGCCGACGAACACAGTGCTCGGGTTCGACGTGTCGCGTGGACGCGCACGGCGCCGGACCCGCCGCGCCTCTCACCCGCGCGGCAAAGATCCCGGCGGGCCCGCGGGCGTGCGCCGCTTGACCGCGAACGTCGCACACCACGCCGCCGCGCCGCTTTCGGCCACGGCGGTCACTGACCCACAGCGCTCCCAGCGGCCCCGGCATCCGCAATTCCCTGGGCGCATCCAAACGCATTGCCCGCCCAACAGCGCACAACTTCAACACCCGCAGCGCCCAGAGATGCAGGCAACCCTGTCAAGGCACCAATTCTCCGTCAGGTGGTGCGTGCTCCAGGGACGCCCGCGCAATGAGCAACGGCAACGCGTCCGTCCCCTTGAGGAAGAGGACGGCCGGCAGCTCTCTCGGCGGTCCGGCGCCCCATCGCACGAGGCTGGCCGCCCGCATGGCGGAGCCGGGGCAGGAGTGCCAGAATGCCGCAGACGGCGGCCGGGCGGGGTCGGCGCGGTCGAGCCCGCAGTCGCCGATCAACAAGCGGCTGCGACCCACGCTGCAGTCCCCCAGGAGGCAGTACGCCGATCGGTTCATCCCCACGCAACTGGGGGCGCGAGGGGGCGACCTCGACTGCCGGGAAGCGGCCGAACACCTGGATGAGGCCAGCCGGGAGGTGAGCGGTGCGCTCGCAGGGCGTCTCAGCCCGCCGCGACACACCAGCGCACCACATTTCCCACGGCGCCCTGCATCGTCGCGGTGTGTCGCTGGCACTATGCGCTGTAAACTGCGAGGACGAAGCGCGGCAAAATCAATCGTCATCGCCATCACTCATTTTAACGGGATCAATCGCCACGCAAGCAGAGAAGCGACGCTGGAGGATGAGGGTTCTTTCAATCGGTGGTCTTCACGCCAAAAAACTCACGATCGATGGGCGGATGGTTGATGTCACCAGCGGGCTTCATCTATCCACACGGCGGAGATCAGCCAATCCTGACCTAAGGACTCTGTTTCCGGCAATTTTGCTGGCCGCCGACTGGCAGAAACATACTTGCGCTGAAGTCGTCTTGTCGTTCCCCATTCACCAGGACGGCACTTCGCTGTATATCAACCTGCTCAAGAATGAGTTGCTGGGATTGAGCCCTGAGAATGCGACGAGCCCCAGAAGGAAAAGGCTCCTGAGATTTGCGGTAGGCAGCGCCGACACCCCCCACGGCGGTGGAATAGCCCCCTCGCCCTACACACGATGTCCTCTGGACACAGGCCTCACGGCGTCTGCCCGCAGCGAAGCACAACCCACCTTTGGGCCCCACAGGCGCGTCATGAAGGGTCCGAACAGGGTAAGGTTGCCTACAGCACGAGGGCGAGGTGCCAGGCCGCTTCTAACACAGAAGCATTGGAGCCATAGTGTAGCCTCTTCCGTGGGCGACAATCAAGGGCACGCGAAAACGGGGCACATGTCGAGGACTTTTATTTACTCCTGCGATGTCCTGGCACCTCATCTAATGCTGCTGTTAGGGAGCCACATTTCTTGCTATGCCGGACTTCGCCACTTGGCATTGCATCATCTCATCACACACCGGTGACGCAATTTGGACGCCCATGTGCGACGGCGAAGAAAATGAATGGGCTTGGAATGAAATTGAGCCCCTTTCCCGACAGTTTTCTGCTTCTCAGATTCTGGACGCGCCTGACCTCAAGGACGATTTCTACATGAACCTTATGGACTGGTCCTCGACGAACATCCTCGCCATTGGCTTGGGAACTGTGGTGTACTTGTGGAGCGCCTCCAGTGGAAAGGTAAATTGCCGAGGAGCGAAGCAAGACAACAGACAGCCGCATTACATGCTGTCGCGATGGTCAATGATCCGGATGGAATTTGTACCGCCCAGGCATCCACACACTGTGCAAATCCAGTGCCATTCTCATCCACGCTGCAGCGCAGACATTCTAGGGGACTGTGAGAGTGGGTGATTGTTGCAGCGCACGGGCCTGCACTCAAAGCACTGGCCGCGAACAGGTCACCCACCTGCACGACTTGGCCAACGACAACGACGACATTTGCTCCGTGGCGTGGTCCCGATCCGGAACGTATCTGTCTGTCGGAACGCGGCGCGGGACCGTGCAAGTCTGGGACACTTCGCGCAGCACGCGGCTGAGGGTCCTGAATGGGCACTGGGGACGCGTGGGGGCCGTGCGCTGGGGGCCCCACATCATGGCGTCGGGGAGCAGAGACTGCACCATCAGGTTGACGGACGTCCGTGTGGGAGACGCCCTCATCCAAGAACTCAGGGGGCACAGGGCGGAAGTGTGCGGCCTGGAGGTGGGCGCCCACGAGCAAAGTGCTGCTCTGGATTGGGCAGCTTCAGAAAATGTGAAGCGCATAGCGAATCGCGATGTTCTAAGAAAGGCCAAGCGCGTGGACTTGGGGCCATCGTTTCTTGATTCCATAACAATTGTGTACCGGGGAGAATTCCTTGACTGCATTTGAATGTATTGAGTACACTCGGGCGCGGTGCAGCCCAATCGGTCGAATCCTCGTTTATCGACCTCAGTAGTCTTCCAACACGCAGTGTGCTCTGTCCGCGGCGTGGCCGCACACGTTGGAGGGCAGTGGCGAACGCATGGCTGACTGCGACAGCTCCTGACTTGGCCCCTCGCAGTGGTCCCACGACAGCCGCATGCTGGCGTCAGGAGGGAATGACAACGTGGTAAACGTATGGGAGCCAGAAACTGGGAGGTCCGTTTGGGACATCCACGACCACACAGCCGCTGTCAAGGCGCTGGCCTGGTCACCTCACAATTCTGGGCAGCTCGCAACAGGGGGGGGACTGCGGGACGGCACCATCAGGTAGGAAATCGTTGGTATGTGTTGTCTGCAATATGGCGAACGGCATTCACGCACCGGCTGCGTATCGTGCGTTTGGAGGCGTCCAAACGGCTGTCCTCCGCTCGGTGTCTTGCATTTTCTCAAAGCATCTCAACCGAAAGCTAGAAGCGGAATGACCACTGTGTCGCCCCTAGGCATCATCTCACCCAGCGAACCCTGCCTTCCGGTTGGAGCAAATCTCAAACTTGAGTGCTTGTCCGAGTACACGCCTCGCAGACAACCGCCCGGGAACATCGAGACTTTCGAACTGACTCTGGAACAGGAGGATTCTGCATGGGACCCACGCTAATTGGCTGGTGTGCTTCATGCAGAATATGGAACACGGCATCCTCCACAAACCTGCACGTCAGGGATGCTGGGGCACAAGTGTGCGGCCTCCACTGGTCCAGAAATGTGAATGAAATCGTCAGCACCCACGGCTACAACACGAACGCCATCAAGCTGTGGAAGCTGCCTCAGATGGAGTGCTTCGCCACTGTTCCGGGGCACGCCATGAGAATTGTGTACATGAGCGCCTCCCCATGCGGGCGCTCAATCGTCACCGGCGCAGGTGGGCTTTCTGCACAGTCCCTGGGCCACCGACATTTGAAATGGCATAATTTCGGCTGCGCCTACATGGGGAATTGGGCATTCGCGGCATGTGACGCGCCCTTACTGTTGTTCACATATATTTGAATCTGTCGCTAATTTCCAATGTGAAAGCATTTGAAACTACAGAATGCCTTGAAGCATCCGACTGCGAAACCGCCAGTCTGACATTCCACAGCCAACTTGACACGTGGGCGTGTTCGCGCAACAAACGATAGCGCTTTCTTGCGCCACGGGGCAAGCATGCACAATTCGTTGACTCTGCCGCACGCCGAAGTGTTGGGCATGAAGGAGTTTATCGCACGCGGTGTTGGAACCAAGAGTACCGCAGATGCGGCAATTTTCGAGCGCCTATGTATGACACCTGGCTGCGTACGCTGTGCCTTCAGGGGACGAGACTGTCCGCTTTTTCCACCTTTTCCCGGGCCCTCCCGCCGTCGCCGAAGAGCCCATTTCTCCAAGAGTGCGGTCGCATATTCGATGACTGAGGAGTGCGTGGGGACGCCGGACCGTGGCGAGTTCCCGATGTACCATATCGCGGTTGTGGACGTTGTAGTGGGTTGTTGGGACTCGGCCTGTCCACAAGCGGGTGGAATGCCGAAAGGGAGATATTGTAAAGAAGATGTGGGGGACGCTGGGCTAGACGGGCCGGGAAAACATGCTCTTCACCTGTTTAAATAATCGCTTCCAGTCACTGTCTTTGTTGTTCGCGCGTATGGGCGGCACCAGGAAAGAACCCTTCCTGTGAGGCTGCTACTAACGCTATTGGGTGTCTCAATAAACATAGAGAATTGAATGAACGGACCGTGTACACCTTGGTGCAGCAGTCAATGGGGAAGGATGTTGTGGCAGTAGGTGACGACTTGCTTCAGCTTTGCAGCTCGCCAAATGCAGCGTTAGCTGCATCTTTGGAATTGGCACTGGGCCACAGATACCAGCCAAAGGGGTTTTTGAGAACACAAACAGCTTGATCATTTAATGTATAGGATATAACAAATCTAATAGGCTTGCCTGGACAGCCGCTTATGCGACTGTGGCTTTCTGTTCGTGGTGATTGCACAGGCGCAGCTGCAGCGGTGTTCAGCGCTCTTTCAGGCGTGTGAACCATTTGTCCAGTGCAGTTGCGATGCAGACGATACCGCAGTTGACGAGTACCTTGCTGTCGCTCAGAACGCTGTGTAGGTGCAAGCACCAGCGCATGCACTTGGCAAAGCTGTCGCATTGCACTTTGTTGCAGCCCAGGAAACGCCGATGTGGTTATGCGTACTGTCGGGCTTCCTGCGTGTTCATCGATGGAACCTGCGCAGTCAGCAACTTCCAGTGACCTGCATGGCCCAGAAGGTTGAGGAGTCGTTTGGACCTGTGGGGTCGCTGACACACGTCAGCATCCACGTCAACACACCAGCCATTTCAGAATGGCGCGTCAGTGTGCTGCATGTCCTACATGTGCTGGCGTTGCTTTGCCAGGTAGATTGCCACACGTGCCACACACGAGACAAGGGCTTCGTGCGAGGAACGGCGCCGCACGCACGCTCAAGGATCTTTTTCCGTTCCGCTGGCTCAGTTGCGGTGGGGCGTGACCCGCCGCTGTGGCCCCCGTGCCCGCCTCAAGAGAGTGTGGGCTGCCTCCGCTTTGCGTGTTTTGAAGGTTGAGAGTTGCGCGCTTCGTTCGTGAAGGTCGGACGAAGGTTGGCGCCATTTTCTCAGTCTTGCAACGAACCAAGAAGATATCAGTGGAACACGGTGGCTTGTCAGCGTTGCCCACGGCTTGGGGAGCATTGTGGCGTCATTTGTGCGAGTGCCTGGCCCCGCGACGAACTTGAGCGGTGTTTTGGCCACTGGACTTGTGTACCGCTTAGTGTTGGCAAGCAGCGGCGCAGGTGCGGGATGCCTGCCGCGATAAGCGCCGCATGCCTCGCTACTCACAGGAACCCCGTGACTCTACCGTTAGTTGCGTTTTTGGTCGGTGCAGTTTGGTCGGTGGCGCTTTCGGGTGCATATCAGGGTTTCGCTCATGCACAGGCGACTGAATTCTCTGAAGCCGTGGACGCCACGAACGCCGCTCAAAGTTTGTCCAATGCTGTGTGCCTCATCTCAGGAGTATGAAGCAATGGCAAGGCTGTCCACTCATCCACTGACCCACCGTCCAGGGAGGCTCACTGTCGAAGAGTACAGGACACGATGTGCGCTGTGCACTGCGGACCAGCTAATTAGGTCAGTGGACCAGGATAATTTCTCGCAGGACAAACGACAATGAATTTATAACTGGTCAAATGCTTATGGTGGCCTGAAGCTAATGTGTGTGCGTGTGTTTTACGTTCATGTTGTCGTTCGTTAGTCGTGTATCAACAACTGAAATTGTCATGCTACAGCCATGCGACGCCACCCAATAGTGTCCATGTCCAAGTGTCAATGCCCGCCACGGGGTCTATATCGCAGCTAAGGAGAAACGTAAAACAGTAAAGAGGACGAATAGGGAGTGTGTGCCCAAATCTATCAGTGCCTCTATCAGTGATCACTGGGTTTGTTGCCGTATTTGTAGGTTGGTCCATTCCAGGGACTACAGAAATTTCCTCATCAGAAAAGGTTGGGCGTATGCAGCATCAAGAGGACAAAATCGCGTTGCTACTACGAAGGCAATACTGGGCATTGCTGCAGCCTTGATTGCGGGTCTTATTGTGCTTGTTCGGGCATCGGGAGAAGTTTCACTGCACAGCCAAGAAGGCAGATTTGAAATGGTCTTCAATACCCGTTGGCCTACAAAAGCTGCAGGCACAGCGAATGAGCTGAAGCCCATTCGTGGTGATGAGCCCTCTGCACACTGCCCCAACAATGTGCTGAATGCCATTTTGCCACGGCAGTGCTGGGATGCCAGTTCTGACAGTGCGCCCTCCCCAACTGTGAAGGAGATAATCCAGACAAGGGCTCCAGGGCAGGAGACTGTGCGCAGTTGGAAAATGAAAAATGCTTGGGGAATGAGGTTAACCACTGTCTTCGTGGGCTTCATGTGCCTTGTGCTGCTTCATGGCACCTTCTGGAAGCAGCATGATCACAAGAATTCACTTCCAACCCGTGACAACAGCTCGCAAACAGAGCCTAATGCCCTGGTGGAGGATGAGCCTGTTATGAGCCCTGATTTCGTGTCAGAGTTACTGCGGTCAAAGGTTGCAAAGGGCCGCCAGAAGAACAATCGGGCTTGGAACACTTCAAGTCGCAGTTTGGACCTTGATGCTCTGCAGAAGCTGTCGGGTGCCAAAGTTCAGCCAGCCACATGCGAAGCATGTGTTCAAACAGATACTCAGGATTCATCGAAAGATGTTCCAGTGATGAACCCTTCGTTTGTGGCGGAATTTCTCCTCACCCGATTTATGCAGGGGCAAAACAGGCAACGATAGATTGTGTTAGGTTACAGAGGTTCGCTTTGGGCAGGGCTGTTCTGCAGAACAGGTATTGTCAGCTTCTTGAGTATTGCCCTGCAGATGCCAAAAATGTCATGAAAGGTTTGAATTCAATATTGAGGAATGTATATTGAGCGTTGGAGTTGAGGGCATTCTTATCAGTTTTGGAGTCAGGTTGCTTTACATCTATTAGTTGGTACAAGCAGTGCATGGTTTGCGGGTGCCCTTTGTGCTTGCCCCGCGTCCACGGCCAACGCTGGAAACAGGGCTAGAAATTGGGCCGTTTTCGCCTGTGGTTTACCGTGACCAATGAGGGCGCTCGGCTTGGCTAGCGTGGTTTGACCAAACTGTTGTGTATGTGTGTGCCGCCAAGGGACTGGCTGAGGCGGAAATAATGCGCAGATTGACGAACATAAAGATTGTGATTGCCTGTACAATAGTTGTAAGATTATTGTGGGTCAGCTGCTGCATCTTCAGACCAAACCATTGTGAGCCAAGTGAACACACGCACATTCACTATCCCAGATTTTTTTTTGGATTTTTTTGGGTGTGGCGCTCGTTGCTGCGGCACTGGCATCCAACAGTGGAAGGTCGCCAGCATCGGAATCATCGGACGCAGTGTGCTCCACGTCTGTCTCCGTTGGCATTCTGTGGGAGCTCCAGGCAACTTAATTGTACAACTCTTCGTGGAAGTCTAGATGACGAATGCGCATTGTGTGATCAAGTGCCTTGAGGCCCCACTGGGACAACAGAAACAGTGTTTGTTCACAACTGTGCTTCTTGGCCGGCTCCGAGCAGCCTTGACCAGGAAGTTGAGCTTCGCCATACTCTTTCTGCGCTGTTAAAAGAAGCACCCTAGAAACTGCCGTGCCGAAAGGCCTGACAGCCAAACGGCCTCCTCTTGTCGGTACTGGTCCTGCGTCGAAACCACTCAGACGAGGTGGGGTCCGGAAGGCCAGGCCTGATAAAAGCCGGCTTCCACGGCATGCACGAATCTCCGCTTGATGAAGTGGCCTACCAAGCTAGTGGCGCCCGCATGCCGGGTGCCATGGTCATCGGCGCAGTCGGCAGAGCGATTTCTGGACGGGTATCCGAGTTGAAGGCACGTTTGCGGCCCGAGCGGCAAGGTGGGCATTGCCAAATGTGTCGTTCATTGTTGTACAACGGTCGGTAGTCTTCATTACGATTTGCTGCGAGGCCATCATCCTGGCGTGCTCTCGGTCAGCGCATGCCGTCGACAGGAATACTGCTGATTTCGACTCTTCCTCATTGCGTCAGATTCCTGAGCGTGGGGTCGATGTTGCAAGGCGTATCCGTTTTTGGGTGCACAGTGAAAGGTGCTAATATGTGGTCGGCAGGGTCCCTTCTCGAGCGGACCCTGTTGCTAATCGTGTGAATCATCAGCAATCCTTTGGTTCATTGAACGGGCGGTCCTCCACCGCCTTCCTTGGTCACAAGGACTGGTAGCCGGTCTGCGAACGCCACAGACCATCGCTTACCAGAATGATGCCACGCTGATTGTAACATAGTCACCTGATGGTATCGATCAGTGTCTGAGCAAAGACAAGTTCATCATGCAAAAAAGTGCTGCAGTGCCTCACAACAGTACGTACCGCAATGAAGAAGCCATCGGTAGGTAATCACAAGATAGCAAGGGGAACACAGCTACTGCACAGAAATGCTCCAGGATTTCTTCTTTGCCAGCTTGCAATCACTCACCACAGGATTTTCGCCCCACAGACTCTGCAACACCACAGGAAGTGGAACCCAGTCTTCCATTTTCCTGTGACTTGAACTTAACGTTCGTTCTTTCCTGCAGGATCCCCTGCGCAATCGTCAAAGATTGGCACCAAGATAACAGCGCTGTGGGAGCGCTGGCATGGACCCCTAACCTTGTGCTTTTTGCTTGGGACTTTGGTGAACATGATGACTAAGGTGTACATGGATGCACGATATGACGACATCTGTCGGTGCGCACATCGCCCTGGCAGCCAATTTTATGAAAATATGCTTGGCCACAAAGTGGAGGATTTTCTCATGATGCCAAAACCTTGGGACCCATCTGGAATCCAAATTTTCTCTTACACCATCGATCTCACAAACACTGCTCATTGCATGTCAATGTCTTTCCTCTAGAGTGATGCTCATTTGACTTTTCTTGTGGGTATCACAAACGAAGCATGCATGCATGCATGGCACAGGACTAAGAGGACAGAAAACAACATTTTTCAGGGCACAGGAATTGAAGTTGCCATGTTCTGTCTTGTTGGCTGAAGGCAGGCCAGCAGGTACACCCATAGGGCGGGTTGCAGGCAGGCAAATTCATTCATGTTAGTGGATTTGAGGATTAAGGTTGGATGAGGGCCGTGATGTGTTCTATTTGGTAGAGTGCATTTCGAGCAACGCATTCACAGAGCACGCTGCGCTACATCTTCTCGCCGACTTGCAAACATGGAGGTGTGGGACTGTTAGTGTTTGCCTGTCATTGTCTTACAGTTTCATGTGGTCCCTTATGTATCTGGAGCAGTCAGCTACTATTCAAACAGCTCATGTCTGGCTTCATGAAGGAGGATCTCTGACAAGAATCTGCCAACTTAAGAGTTTTAAAGTTTTTGGTGGAGCTTATATTCTGAAGCTTGGTTGCTGTGCTGGTGCAGTTGCCCCTCTCCCATTCAGGATTCCCCCACACATTCAGGTTCAGCGTGCCAGGCATGCTTCACATCATGCTGACAAATGCATGTTTTGTAAGCGGAGCACACTGGATTGGCACAATCGTGTTTTAAGAAACCCATGTTTTGGCTGGTCCGTCTGCACATGGCTGGTGTCTTTTTCCTGCCCTCCTGTCTTTTCTATCTATTGGCATGGCCAGCACCAGCTCTACAAGTCTAGTGGTGTCCTCTAGGGCTCGCACCACTCTGTCCCCGTCCTGCAGCGCTGTGGAATGTGGGCAATTGCCCATGGCCACGGGGGAAGGTTCACATCGCCAACGAGCAGCTGATGCCATGATGTCCAAGATGTTTCAAGATTGCCACGAACAACACTGTTCAAAAGAACATGACGAACAAACCCTTCCATCTTGCAGGCGACGACAGGCACAAAAACATCCAATGAGTGTCTGCTCAATGTCCCCAGGTCGTAGTCCCGCATAGCGCCCATTTCACACCGTCAAATGGACAGCACAAAAGCCAGCAAAACGCCTAACGCATCTGGGTAAGAAAGAAACGGGAAGGGCAGATGAATGATATTTTAAGCATGATTGACATGCAGTTCGTCTTTGCTGCGCCACACTGTTAAAACACTGTCAAATTTGTGTGAGTTTTCATGCGAATACGTTTCCACGCTCGCCAGAAATCACGACGGCACAGTGTTGACCAACCACGATCAGCAACGCCTCTGTCATGTTGTGTGCAGGGATCGCTGCAGTTTTGGTCGAGAATGTCAAGTGCCTCTGCAGAGCGGTCGCAGAAGCACAGATCTCGTTTGATGGTTTGCAATGAACAGCTGAGGTTCTGCAAACGAGGACATGCCACACTGGCCGCACGTTCAGACAACCAGCGTGTGGAATCGCAGGGGCTGCTCCTCCAGGTTGGCAGACTGCCATGTGCAGTCATGATTTGTTTATGAGAGGGTTTGGGTAAGCGTGGTAGGCATAGCGTGCCCATGCCATGCTACCTCCGGGCAATGCACCAATCCCTGCTTCAGAGACCAGAAAGGCAGGCACACTGCAATAGGCCAGCAGACGGCAGCAGTGCGGCGAGCAGGAAGGTGGCGTCCTGTGCGATCCACTTCCCCCATCACTCAAATACTGTGTTGAGGCGCCGAATAGTCAATTTCGGGAACCTTGTTGGCTGGATGTCACACCAATTCTTGCAGTCTGGATTCACGGAAAATTGCATGTTTGTAAATGTCGCATGTCCTGCTGTTCATCAGGGTCACCAAAAGCTGAGGACTGAGCATATTCGTGAAACTTGCGAAGCATACCAGGACTGGGCCAGCCACTGGGAGGAAGTTCAGCGCCAGGGCGTTGCAAGGGTGAGCGTCATGCCATGAAACAGGCAATGCAAGCCCTTTACCTGGACCTCTTTCTCTGCTCCCCGAGCTGTGGCCTATTTGTGTGCGCGTTGGGTGAGTCTAAAGTCGCCATTGTTGTTAAGATGCAGCAAATGTAGTGAATGGTAGTGGAAAATGGATGGTGGCAAATTGACCCACCCTTGCTGTCAGTCAATTGAGTTGAACCACGCCAGCCTGAAATCTGCCATCGTCATGAGCGCTTCCAGCCCGTGAATGTTCATGCTGTACCGTGTCTTGCCACAGCCTCTGGCAAGTCAAATCCCCGCCGGAGAGGCAGATGCTTCTCATGCACCAGCCAACAATTTCAGGGACACATATCCCAACGAACTTGAGAGTGCATTTGCAGGTCAAAACATTCAATGACCTCGTTCAAGCAGAGGCGGTGGCTTTGTCGGGCCATAGAGCAAAGTCTGTGCATTGGGGGTACCAAGTATCCCGGGAGCTGATGACGGGCCTCGAAATACCATTGGATTCAGCAGGTCAGGTGATAATAGTTCGTACGTGGTGGTCAAGATGGAGCACACTGGATTGATGTCGAGCCTAATGGGTGCTGCACTGGCTGCACTGCTGCCTGCATAAGCCGTATTGCAGTGGGCAGGAAGGGCATCTGCTGGTGTCAGAATGTAATGTGTTCCCAAAACCTTTTGACAGTGGCCGTTAGGAGTTGCAGTGCAGGACCGCTGGCGTTGGGCTGATGCCAGAGAATTCCAGTCGTGTCTGAAATGGATAGCTATGCAACGTCAGCCAAAGGCCCTGGCAGATTGTTTGGCAGATAATGTTGCCTGGACTGAAGTTAGAACTCAGGAATCTGGAGCACGGCTGTTGATGGGCTCAGTAGAATGGATGTTAGACTGTAGATAAGAACAGCTCATCCAAACAGCACCCTTGTCCCATGCCCATGTGCGTGACAACTACAACGAGGCAAAGCACCTTGTTGTCCATTTCATTGTGTTCGAGTTCCGAATCTGGGATCCAGCATGGCATACCACTGCACAGCCTGTCGGGACAATTCAAGGCTCCCGACACTGTCAGGACCAGCTAGGCACTCTGGCACCCTTGCATGCCACCCATGCAAACAGTGTAAACATACATCCTTCTGTTCATCCAAGTTTTTGTCCCAAGGACAAAGGGGAAGACTCCAATCCACCAGTCAGTGGAGGGAACAGCCGTATCAAAGAAGCATGTTTTCCAGCATTGTACACAGTGCATCAAAGGTCGTTACTGGCGGCAAAGACTAGTCAGATTTTCTTCTCGTAATGCTTGGTCAGGCGCAGAAACAGGGCAGCCAGAAAGAAGGCCTGCCTGCACTTCAAAAGCAAGTCCTCTGCACACCCGATCTTGTACAAGCCCACAACACCCAATTCGACTCACAGATCCCACGTTGCCACAGACCCTCAGAGGGGATTGAGGTCACCAAGCAAGTGCTGCTGGTCACCCGACCCCATCGTGTCGATTTGTAATTCGCTGATAGACAAGGTGGCAGAATCAGCTGGTCTTGGATCCATTTGCATGATGTCAGGCAGTCCCACCGACAGTCCTTTAGGTAGGTCAGTATCCAATGGAGGGCCTCCCACCCGGCCATCCATCTTTGCACCAGTCAAGGACATCGATCTCTTGCTCACTCCCCAACTTCCACATGCTTCTTCCCTCAGTGTCCTCAATCGAACAATGCACATCTCAGAGTGGCTTGCTGGCCGTTTAGTTCTGGCCATTGCCACGATGCGCTCATTGAATTTGTAGTGGTAGCGGGCGATCGGCAGGTCATTTGGAGCATGGATGAAAGGATCTTCCATGTCTTTAGCCAATTCATTCAATGCGAAGTAGCATATCATAGTCATGAATGTGATCGCCAGATTCAGTGGCAGCACGTGTATGTACGAGTTCACCGTGATGGAGAACATGATGCTGAACGCAACCAGGCCTCCGATGATGAACTGGACATAGGGGAATGGAAAGGGGGTCTCTGCCAACTTTCTGCACTGGGCATAACCCTCCATGCCTTGCGACAGCACTTGGAAGCAGCGAGTCAGCAGCGGTGGCTCGACGCGCAGACCGCCCTCCCTGCGACGATCCAGGATGAGGTCACAGATCCACTTGTACACAACCTGCACACGCTCTGATGGTCCAGGCACCCCAATGCCGTCCTGTGTCGGGTGACCTCGACTTGTGGCTCTTGCAGCAGGCCAACCCTTCCCCAGTGCCACCTTTTCCTTCTCTGTGACACCAGCGACAACCCCCAGTGGAAGCATTTTGTTCAGGCAGTTCATCTCCACTGGGTGCCATCTCAGATGAAACATGTCTGTTGGAAACCAACTGTTCCCAGCAAGAACAGCAAACCTCAACCTCTTCCACCATGGCTTGTGTTCACACCACTTTCGAACGGCTGCCCGTTTCATGCTGCGCTGCAGGGTGATGGTGGCGGGCGGCATTCCCTTGACATGGTCGTGCTCACACAAGTTGTCCAGGTCCCAATCCAGCCTCAACGACTGCAGGGCCACAGCATGCAAGAGGCTGATAAAGTGTAGGAACGACTCTCCAAACACCCTGCAGCACGGACCAATGCACGATGTTCAGACATGCCTTACCGATGAGCTGCTAACTGGAATGCAAAACAGTACAGCTGTTTGGGCACCTGAGGATCACAACCGGTTGGCAGGGTCCCCCCTTGTAAACAATGTGGACATACTGAGTGCTGCTTCTGGTTTGAAATGTTTGGTACTTCCATGCAGTCAAAATGACACCTGGCTACTCCCTGGCAGCTGTTCTTCAGGCATTCAGCGATGTCCCACAAGTGGATCGACGAAAGGAGACAGCACATCGACTCCAGGGCAGTGAGTAGCACATCCAAATGCCTTGATGTTGCCAAAGTGTACAACCGTTCTGCAACAAATTCACTCACTGCGCACCTGGCTCTCTGGTAGCTGATCTTGCCACTGCCACGGGGTAGTGTTTCTCTGTCGAATATCAATACCTGACGAAGGCCAGCAGCCCCCATCAGTGCCTGGACGAGATCTGCAACCTCTTTGAGACAGTTGTGGCGATTCTTCAAATTGCACAACCTGATTAGTGGCACAGTATCAAGCTGGCCATTGCATACTCGAGCACACGTTACAGAGTGCTTATAAACTGTGCTCACTTGGTGTGCAGCACGGCTTCCAACAAAAGAATATTGCGAACATTCTGGTGCGCAGAATTTGACCCTGACACTTTGCCCAATCCGAATCTGTGCAGCCACTGACTTAAATGGCCCTGTCCATGAACGCCTGCTGAAGACATGGCGCCCCAGCTCAGCTACGTAGTCCGCTACATGGTGGCATTGCCATAGTCAAGGAGACAGTGTGGCCATCAGCAGACTCTGGTGATATTTTAGGAAGAGGCAGGACAATTCACAACCCATGCCTAAGACATGCACTTGTGGGGTGTTGGAAGCATGAGTCAAAGTTAATCTCAAACATAAATTTGAGAGGTTACCTGTGCAAAGTGCTGTGGTTGCTAGAGTTCCACTCTGTAAGGACATGAGGATGGCCCTTGGATGAAACTGCTGAGGCACAGTATGTAGTGCAAGGACAAAACAAGGAACAAACTGCTGCAGCAGGCACACATATTTTCCAAAGCTATTGCACGTGCCACTGCCACAATAGTGTGCTGCATCCAAGGGCACCAAGCACCTGGAATGAAGTCCCTCAACAGAAATGTCTCTGTCATACACACCATGATTGCAACGTCCGTCAGCTTCGAAGTCATCAGCTGAAGTTGTGTCCTCCCCTCCCAAAAGCGTACATATGCTAGGTTATTCCTGACAGAAAGCGGTTTGTACACTTGTGAGCCATTTCAACAGGATTCCTGGCCAAGGCGAGTTTGCCGTGCTGTTCCTGAGTGCTGCAGTTGCAACACAAGGAAAAGACAATTCGAGACATACTGCTATAGAATCAATACCATGCTTTGCAAACGTGCCGTGCTGAAGAGGTGGTTCCCTGAGCGGTCCGCATCCACCTTGGTGGACAACAGGAGGTAACACAAGGCCAAACGCCTTCTTTTCGTTTCGATCACGACCACACGCAAACAGAAGGCAAGCCGCTCAATTTTGGTCGCCAAAGGCAACAGGAGATGCCAGCGACAAACTTCTCCTTAGGCCTTGATGGCAATGTTTGATGAGCCTCTGATAACGGCAGTGACGACCGCACAAGGCTGCCTTCACAGTATCCTAAGGGCGGCGCTTTGTGGCTAGCTATCACCATTCTTGATGGAGCGGGTGCTGAACAGCGCACTTGAGGCTGCTGATGCAGCGTTGTTGGCGTGTTCCATGCCCTCTCTCAGCAACCTGTGATTGCCGCAGCATCACAGCGCAAGGGAGGCCAGGGAAACGCCGCCATCACATTCAAAAGATACGCCCGGGACGGCCGCACGCAAACTCTTTTCCGCACCTGAAGACGAGCGCGAAGGTGACCACGAACGCGAAAATCTCGAACGGTATTGGCTGAGCGGAGTACCATTTCCGGACGTCATCATGGTCGAAGCCGAACCAGACTGCGCACGATGCAGCAGTGCCCAGCAGTGCCAGGAACAGCGCCCGAGGAAACGCCGAGCCGTACAGCTGGCTGCAGGTGTCGAGGTCAAAGAAGGTCTTCGAATAGAATATCATGTCTGCGGCAGCCACGGCTCTGCGCGGGCGCAGGCACCATGTGCCCCATGTCAATAGGCAAGGCACGGACCCCTGCACCGCCATGTCATGACCACACTCACGCGAGGGCACTCGTAATCCCAAGAAAACGTTGCCTTCCAAGGAAACGACAAGGCAATGGCCAGGTGAGGGCATGTCAGACATGGGCCCAAACAACACTCAACTCAAGAATCGTGAGGCGGGACATGCGAATCTCACAGACAGCCCATGGCTATCTCCTTGTCTTGATATGCCTTGAAGCAAGCATACTTGATTGGCTTGTAATTGGCAATTGGCTGCAATGTAATGTCGGCGCCTCCAACAGAACACCAAGGAAGGCTGCTACGTTGTTGAATTTGCTGTTAGCCATGTGGCCACCACACTCAATGAGTGGCGCACGGCGATTGAAAGGTGGACGCAACACCGAAAACCAGTCAGAAAGTGGTCATGGTCCACTGAGGAGTGCGGAGAAAGAACGCTTTTCATACACAAATAGAGTATCCAGTTTGGCCACTTGAAAACTGGAGACCTCTTAGCGTGCTAAACACGCTAATAGTCGAAAAACACTTGTGTGCAGCGCAAAAAGGTAAATATTGCTTGCAGGCTCATGAGCTTGTAGAAATAGCATATACATAGAAGTGCAATCCAATATTTTTCTTATTCAAATTAACTTCGTTGAATGGCCATTACGTGTGACTGCCAATTATGGCTGGTAAGTCGCGGCGACGTGTATATTACTGGTTAAAAGACGTGTCCAACCCAAATACCCGAACAAAGACACCCCAAGGGGACGAAGCACCCCACAAAATTCCAGCCAGGAATGCACAAATGAGCTGACAATGACGCAATCCATAGATAGGGCCAGAATCACTGATGTTGCTGGCTGCGGCGTGACAGCTTCCGCGTTCTGATCTCGTGGAGCTCGCTCACGCTTTGCACACTCAGAATTCCACAGGAAAGACAGGCAGCTTTTCAAATTAGCAGCTTCCCTTGCCAGGCCTGCCAGCTGGAGAGTGTCCCCACGCATCATCGAGAGAATCAAACGCTGGATCAGCTCAGATGATTTTCTGATGAACACAGCACACCGTATTGAGCATGCTGGTCCAAAAGGAATTACGTTTATGCACACTACAGTTAAAAAGGCGCTGCCAACCGCCCACCAGAGTTTCAGTAAGCGGTTAATATGCACAAAACACCCAGCCGCAATTTATATTGGCTTTCTGGACTTTCGATGCTCCCAAATGACTCTAGAATATCGTCTGAGTATATGTTCACTTCTAGTTTCTTGATTGTACTGCGCAGGTGGAGCTGACTACAACCCCACTAATGGTCAAGGGATTTCTCAGAGAATTCCTGCCAGCTTTTGCGTAGCTGTTTCTTGGACAGCGAATGTCTGATCTGTGTGTCAGAGCCCGGATTGACTGTGAACGGTGCTCGCGGGCACTCAATACAAGCACGTTTTGGAGGGGGAGTTTCAACGTCCTGTTTTTCGCCAATGTGTTCACTTCTTTCCCTAACTAGGTTCATGCCACAGTTAGCAAAATTCCGTCAATTGGGATGAGCGGCTGTAAAGGGACTCAAATGATCTGTAACAGAACATTGTAACGTCTTTGACTATGTCAACTCTGGCAAGTCAGTGACTTGCTTATCACAGTAGTGCTCGGCTCACAGAACTCACTGCTGCCTTTTTTCCGATGTGCTAACATTCGCCGACCACGCGACACTTACCGGCCTGCCATATTGGGGACCAAGATTTTTGTTGAAAGCTCAATCGCGTCAACAATCCGTACATTTCCAGAAACGGTGACAGAGACGCAGCCCAACAACAACTCCTCCCTCGCGTAAAACATTAGCTCACTCAAGTGTTTGAGGAGGGTCCTTGGGGCCGCGAAGACCTCCCGGTTAGCTGTGCTTTGCGTCATCAGGGCCCCGAAGGTTATCCCAATTGGTCACACGTTGTGCCATTATTTACGCATGCAGCAGGTCACAGCTTCGAAGAAGCTTTCCCACGCACACGGCACCTGACCTCAGCACATTCCCAAGGCTGATAACACAGCGAATCGACCTGGACGGCTTGTGGTCATTGGTCAGCTGGTCAGCTAGTTGATGAAACCAACAATTTATTGCAGTCAATTAACTCACATGGACTTGTTCAGATGTCCCTGGACTCGGGCTGGGTGGTGCGACCAGCTGATGCGCAACCTCCCTATTTGCATCTGCCCTCACATCACTCTATTCCCTGAATATTCTCTAGAATATTCCCCGCTCAATAAAATTATACCTTCCGTCACTGCTTTCAATGGGATCCGCCCCCTTTTATCATGTAAAGGTTCCAGCGTCAAAACAATTTCAAGTACTTTCCTTTTCAACTTCGCCCAGCTCATAACATGATCGTAACTTCACCATAAATCCAAGATACCCTTGAATTCGCCCCAAAAGTGCAGCAGATCAGCTGCAAATGTATTATGATCATCTGGTTCATTCACTTGAGCCGCATTTGTCATGCTGAATCGAACAACTTACAAACCGATCACGAATATGTTCAGTTGGATCACAGTTCATATTGCTAAGTCCAGCGCACTGTTACTAAAACTCTCAATCAACTGATCTTTTCAGCACGTTATTTTTGGTTATTCGCCATCACCGCGCTCAGATCTCATCCGTCTCGGCCCTGAGCACAACCGCCCATTCGTTGTCCATCGAAATTGCGGCTTCGGCGCAGCCTCCGCCACCGACGCTCACGCAGTCTTCCTCGTCATCCTCCCTAGCCCCCGCTGCCTCCGTTGTGCTCGCTGCATCCGACCGATCTGCCATCGCGCCGCGGCAACAACTCCATCGGCAAACTCGCTGACGTCCCGTTGTTGTTCTCGAGCAGGTCCAACGGCATGCAGTCCTGGTCCTGGTCCATGCCTCCCCCTCGAACCGGCCGCGACGTGAGGAGCTGCCCTGGAGACAGAGTTCTGCCCGTTTGCGCGCTCCCATAGCGGGTCAGGCGTCTCGCTGCGCGTCGCACACACTCGTAGCGTGTGGTCGGGCCCCAAGGCGCCCTCTCGGAGTATTCCGTGCGACATTGCGACCTGCCAGTTCGGTGACACACGTGGCGCACTGCCAAGGTAGCGCATAGTGTACAGCGTGTGTCAACATGCCTGCCAGAAGATTTTGCTTGCAGATGGGATGTGTCACGACCCGCCAGTACGTCATACTGGTCTTTCAAATGTCCAAGACGTACACCAAATTCCCCTAAAAGCTATTCCTAAATGAGCAGCACTGGGGAGCACACCCGTAGCCCATGGCAGCGATGTTTAAAGCACGTCAGCCATTCATAAATGACGATTGTCATTCCACGCATAAAGTAGAGCATGCTATATCTCATGTTTAACGAGCGCAGAAAGTTCCTTTTCGAGCTGTCCCGTATTCCAATGCTATAAACAGCCATTCCATGTGCTGGCCAATTTCGTGGAAAATAGGGGCATTCTGCCAGCCTTCTTCCCCCTTTTCATCTGTTTTCTATGACTGATGTTCCTGCCCTGTAGTATATTTACCCTCAACTAGCTCTGCAGGCACATATTAGGCTGCACTTCCCCTAGAAAACCATTACTTCCAGTTTTCCCTTTCGTGCCTAATCCTGCAACCGCAGTTTCGAATATTTATGCGGCATTTTCCTTTAATTTTCATATTTTCCATGCTGTGCTCAGTCAGCTTTTTCTACAATCGTATTGGGACCTGGTAGTACATGGTCCTGGTGGTCACAGCAGGCCGTGTCGCAGAAATGCAGGCCAGGAATGCATGACCTCTGCCCATGAGCCATGGCAGGCATCCAATACTGGGTTGACGACTTTGGCGGCTCGCACCAAGGCTTACTACGGCCATTAGATCATACCATTTTCAGCTGTGCTGCACTGCAGCCATACTGGCTGCTTTCTGACAAATTTTGGCAGCGTTTCCCCAAGACCTTTGGGCATCCATCACAACGCCTATACTGTATACTCGATATGCTGTCGCAGAACCTCCTTTGCATAAATTTTTTGATGCGAGCTGGCTCTCCGACTATTCATGTTCCCAGTCTATCTTTTTCCTTCCTCAACTCAGCCCTTTACTCTTTAAGGCCATAAATGGGCTCGTCGTACATGTGAATTACCAATCAACGACGCACAAATTTGTATACGTGTCTTTTCCGCTTTTTGGTCGTGCTTTGGCGAGCTTTTTTCCTTCCTTTCTGACTGGTCTGTCTGTGGTGGCCCAGTCAGCTGCCATATGTCAGTCTTGAGCCCCTTTCTTGAGCTGACATAGCCCAGCGACTAACGGCAAGTTTAACAACTTTCAAAAAGCCAAAGCACTGGCAAAAGGCTCCCCAAGTTTTTAGGACCGTCATCACCTTGGGTGCAGATTCCTAAAATGGATTGGATTAGATGTTGGGGGCCATTCTAGTGGATATCAGCACTCGCTGTGCGTTGGCCAGGACATCTGTATGCAGGTGTAGTGCTTGCCCTGGGTGCCTCATGAATGGGCTTACTGCTGTGGGGTTGCCTACCAGCGCCCTTTCAATAGCGCGCGGCCCGCAATAGCGCGCCGGCTTTTGGCTTGGCATCCATGTTTGCACCCCACTGTGCTAGTACTTTGTGTTTTATCCCTGGATTGCGGTGCAACAGTACCAGAAGAAAATGTTAGTCAGGACCTGGTCCAGCAATTGCGGTGTTGGAAGTCGAGGGCCGCGTACGCAACGTGCCTCCCACCCGTTCGGTTCGTTGCGACCCACTCGCGCGGGTGGTTTGGCCCGCATCGCCAGCCCACTTTGGCGGCGCCCCGGAGCCAATGCCGTCCGTGGTTCCCAACGTGGGGGGGTCGTTGACGGGCATCTTGTGCCTGGTGGTCACCGTGTGGGTGGTGCGCATCTGGCGGAAGAGGAAGGCCGCCACCGTCGCAACGGAGGACGGCGCCGAGAGGCAGAAGTTCGGGAAGCTTTCCGCGAGCACGTTGGTGATGCTGGTGAGCTGTTCCGGTGTGGTCCTGCCAAGCGCCCATTGGTCGGGCCATTATAATGTTGGGACGCTTGTGGAACGTACTGACTCGCAGGCGCGGGCGCGACTGCGGCCTGGTTCAAGAGGATGGGTGATCATTGCTCGCCTTGTGGGTCGGTCGTGGCGTTGTGTCTAGCGTGTTTGAGGCTGCGAAGGTTCATCCAGCGACCTGGTGGGAGTATGGCTGCCAACGGGAATGTCGTGGGCGGCCAGTGACTGCGCCTGCCGACCTGTGCTTTCCACAGATAGAGGACGACCCCGTTCCACATCTTGTGGTGGACGTTAGGGGACCAGAAGAGAGAACTGCGCTCCCTGAGGTGCTGGGAAGAGCGTCTGGCGGCCTCCTGCGGGCGCAGGGTGAGGATAATGGCGATCGGCGTGAGGAGCAGCAAGGCGGGCCGCACTGCTTTTGAATACTGCTTCGCTTGCCGACAGCGTGCCAGCAAAGTCATCCTCAAGTCCTGGAAAGGCACCAGGAATTTCGCGCGGGAAGTATCGTGAGCTTCGAAACGCGAACGCCCGTTGTGTGCTGAATGGCCGTTTGGTTTCTAATGTTGCTTTGTGTGTGGCCTCTTCACGTGGGCGTTGCTTGGCTACCCCAGTGTGCGAGCTCCGCGGTCTGTTTCAAAGGAGGAGCTCGAGCGATCTGACCCAAAAGAACTTCACAGAAGTTCTGCCTGGGAAGAAAGCGCCGCGGCGGGACGACCTTGTGGTGTTTGTCTGCGAGACGGGAGAGGATAGCGTGAAGGCGGTGGAGGAAATGGAAGCCATGGGCTATAGCTGGTGAGGTTAAATCTGACCACAAGCTTTTGTAGGGACACTAGAGCTGTGGGTTGCGCTAAATTGTGTGCTGCAGGTGTTTGTTTGTTTGTTTGTTCCTTACATGGATGCATCGACATGAAGTCACGGCATCGATCAATGTAGCGTACCATCCAGTGTACGAAGGGCACGTCCAGGCCCACCTCTAGAACCAAAAACACGCCGTGCTGCAGGTGTTGTTTCAGACGATGTGTCTTGCCGCCATGGTAGCCAATCTCAGCAACTCGTTGTGGGAGCGATTCCTACTTGGCTGTGGGGCCCACAAAGCATCTATGCAGTGTGGTTCAGCAGTATTTCAGCATGCTCCAGATGCCACCGCCGTGGCCACTATGAATTTTCCATGTTCACAGTCCAGGTTGATCCACTGGGGTGCTATGAACAGACAGTGAGGCACACAGTGGGCATGCACTCACGACACCCATCATTGAATGGCACTCAACTCAAGTTTCCAAACTAGTGTGCATACTTGGAAATGGGACGACGGCACAGATTTGCTGATCTCGCTGTTGACCTGTTTTGCGCACAGTTGCACCAACCCTGTTGCTTGACATCTCAGCACGACAACAGGTCCTAGCAAGCTCCAATCCCACCTTTACTATTGAATCCAAATTTGCTTGTGCCGTTCAGTGCTGTCTATCTTGATGGTGGTTTGGCATCCCTAAGACGACAGACCATACAGCCTGCCCGCCTGAAGTACATCAGCAGACATGCGGTGGCAGTCCTGTTGAATTTTGTTGAGACACCTCCACCCCTTGATGCTCAGTTCATTGACGTCCGGAGGGCAGACGAGCATACAATATTTGGGACCATCGAAGGCAGCAAGTTTCTCAATGGTAATGCTGACAACGAATTCCCTGCTGGTTCTGAATAGGTTGAATTGCCAAACTTTTCTTGCATCTTATTGCATTTTGTGCAATTTTTTTGTGCAACTTGGGGCAGGCGATTCGAAATACCAATTTAAGGAGCAAATCATCACATGGTGGTGCAGGATAGTGTGTTCCTTGGAAGTGAAGCTTGTTGTGTTGTGCACTAGGTTACAACAAGTCTGTAAAGTTGCCCAGCTGCAAATGGGCAATTAGGAATCCTTGAAATGTGCTCTATGTTGTCTGAGATATTTTGGAACATGCCTGTTTGCACAACAACACAATCACGGTAACATGACAACCAAGGCAACCATCTGGCACCAAGTGCTGTAGCTCCCACAGCCACCACCATGAGCACCAGCCGCTTCACCCTGTTGTTGGCTTCCACTATCCATCTTTGGTGCACAGGCAATGTAACGATGTTCTGTCCTTTGGAAAGCTTGTGCTACTGCGATGAGTGCTTGAGCTGTCTTTTGTGCAGTGAACGAGCTTCCGAAGGCCCTCAGGCTTGATTTCAATGAGTTCAAGAGCAAGTATGGCTTTCCCAAGCCCAAACGAGATGACGTGATTGTCCTAAACTGCAGGACAAACAGGCGGGCAAAGTGGGGTGCTGCCTTGTGTGGCGAAGCTGGCTTGCAGAGGTAAGAATGTGCTGGCTTGTACAGCTGTGCTCAATCACAAAAGTGCTGAACACTGCCCCCTGCTTAACAGGGCAGGTTTACAGTTGTTGCTTCCAGCTAATGCTGGGTAGTTTGGCTATTCCAAGTAGCAGGGCAAGTAATGTGGATGTTCTCATGCCGGTTCTTGCCAAGTGCCAGTCAGTCTCTGGAGAGGCTTGCTGCCCTTGCACTGTTGAATGCATAGCTGGCTCACCTTGTTACATGCTCACCCTTTGCATGGAGTGTTCACTTCAAGCATGTGCCATGTGCCAAGATCCCAGTTGTATGGCATGCTAGGTGTCAGGGTTGTAAGTGACAGCATCGGAGGTAGAAAATAGTGTTGCAAATGGAAGATGGCCAGCATATATTTGTTTGTTGGAATACCTAAATAGTCACCAGTATCTGCCTGGTTATAAACGCATGTCATTGTCAGCTTTATCAAAGAGCAGAAACAACAGGATCCAAGGCCAAGTTTTGTGTTCTGTACTGAGCGCAGGCTGTGGGCTTCCTTGTGTTCTTATCAGTGGTAGCTGCAGCACTTCCTAAGGGTGGGTAATGGGTGAACTTTGCAGTGTATCCCATGCTTTGTTTGTCTTGTTGTTATCAGCAGGGGCTCACTGTATTTTGGACTTTAGGCTACCAAGCTCAAACTGTCTCAGATGTGCAAAGATGGTGCAGTTTTCTCGACATTCTTCTGGCATAGAACTGAGATGCTGTGTCTGTTTGTAACAGGGCATATGTGCATCGGCAGGGTGTCCATGGTTGGCATTTCCATCCTGGTGTGAAGATGTACGATTCATACTATCAAGGGGACGAGATTCCTAAACCCAGACCATTCCAAATTGAGCGACCGGATGTTGATGCTGCCTGGCGCGAACTTGAGGACCTTGGCTTTGGGAGGCGGCCGACATTGCCAGTGCCGTCCTTCACCAGCACAGCCACCAGTTCCCCATTTGCTGGCCCTGACGTCGACCATGGACATCGTGTTGCAGCTGCCGCCCAAGCTTAGAACCCTTGCAGTGGTCTATTCTTTGAGGTTAGTGTAAACCTATGTATACTGCAGTCAGGAAGGAGCGAGCCTGTTGAATGTTTGGAGGAATGGGATTGGACGCAGTTTGTTGCGAGGGTATGCACGAGAAGACTAAAAAGCCATTGGCATTGTGTCAAGCGCAGGAAACGGGGACTTGGGAAGTAGATATTTTTTGCCGCTATTCTCGTTCATTGCTTTGGTGGGTGAGAGCAACGGGAGGCGATATCTTTTGGGATGACGCACTGACACGGTGTGGAGTTTCTTGAATGTGGCTCCAGTGCAATTACAGCTCTGAACGTTACTTGTTAAATCTCAATTCCTTTGTATGGAATCTGTGTTTTGTTGGGTAGCTGCTGTTGCAGTTCAAGCCCCAGTTGTTTTGCAGGCACACTGTATGCAGGTATCGCAGGGATTAGCGCTGGAGTTGTGGTACGGATCTAGTATTACTATCTTTGATATTGGACACGAGAGATTGTTTCACGAGTACGTTGTGTTCTTTCAGCATTTAGAGCCATTTGTGTGAGAGATACGTGCAGAAAATTTGTAATTTCACTGCGTGTCCGGATTTGTGATGCCCCCGTGGTCAGCGTAATGGCCGCATTCCACCTGCTTGCCGGGAACCCCGCAAGTTGTTGTGCCTTGGCGAATGCACACCTAACCGCGAGCGGGACCACATGGCGACCCAGGGAATGAAGTACTGAAAAATGGAAGCTTGTCATTGGCAAGAATCTGCTGGTCTCCTGGTATGCTCGTTGCCTGGTGCTTTGGTCATCGCACACAGCTGACAAACCTATCGGCTTAGTGGGACGGATCACCAACTGTGCCTGCTCGTGTAAGGAACACATGGAATTGGCAGTTTGCCTTCAATGTCGAAATAGCAATCGGTTTGGTGAGCGGGGAGTGCACATGCCTGATATGAGCCAAAAGGTGTTCGCGCACCGGGGACAGACTTTTGGAAGGAGTTCAGGAGAGCACACCCCTCTTTGGCCTATGGGCTTTGCTTTTAGAGCATTTTGTTAGGTACCGTAGTAGTGTCGTCACGAAGGAGACAGGATAATCCAAAACCAATCTGGAGCGCCTCATTTAGGGTAACGTGCTGGTTTGTGCGTGGAGAACGCCAAAGAAAGACATTGTAGGACACGCAGATTGCAAGAATGGGCGACTGCCAGGAATTGCGCCAAAAATTGACATCAGAACCGCACGGCAAAACTGCACAACTTTGGAAGCTGCTTCCGGCTTGCCACTCTCCTGCACCGTGGTTAGCTATGGTCTCACATCGTGCAATATCCATTGCCAAAAAGAATTCTTGAAAACGATAGTCTCTCAATGGACATCGCCAATGTGCTTCCAAATTTGTGATACTGACGTTGCTGCATGCGAAGGCCATGCGTTGCCATCAATTAGACTTGTCTTGAGCAAGGCGTCCGCTGCAATTGCCCGTCTGGTTCAGCTTTGCACCCATGGAATATTCCAGCGTTGTGATCTAGCTATGTTACTGTTGGAGTAGTGTCTTGGCAGTGTCCACTCTTCAATCTGCTGCAGTAGCCCATTCGCCAGATTGAGTCGTTTTGAGGATTGTGGGCGCTCGGGCTTCCACTGGAAATTAACCACAACATGCGCTACAAGACGATGCTTTGGCTCCGCCTCATAGAAGAGGTTCTACTGTGCTGTCCACAAATACTTGTATGGACATCATACACACAATCTCACAAACAGCCTCAGCTGGATGCAGCGCTTTGAAGCATTGCCACCACATTCCGTGCAACAGCTGCCGTTTTTCGTGGAGCCAGCCCTCAAGATCAATGCGTCCTTAAAGAATTGGTATCCCCCCGAATGGCCAAGGGATGCTCTCCAACATTGGATTCCCCCAGTGCATTCCAGCCAGTGTGTGTGCACACATCCTTCCGACCTTTTCGTACATACCAAAACCCATCACATGTTCATTGAGTCCGAGCAATAACACTGCAATACCCATGGTTCCAAGCAGCTGCACTCTTTGCTCCAACAGCCCTGGAATACATCATGTTATTTTGTGCGAAAAACCATTCCAACCAGCTTCTGCGACATGTGAGCACTGGTTATGGCTCGCATGGGCTGGCCTTCCCCCCTGCGTTCTTTTTAATGGCAACAGCTTCAACCACGCCTCTGGCAACCAGCACAAACTGCTGGTGGTCCAAAAATGCCGGATCCCTTTTAGCACTCACTGCTGCCAGCCAGGGGCCAGACTTGTGCACTGAATGCGTACAGCTGCATATCACTGCGCCTCTGCCTTGCGGACAAGTCAACTCCCTTCTTGCTTGTCCAATCTAAGACTGGCCACTGGGAAGTGCATCAGCCTCGGCCTCGAAATAATCTGCCCTGTAGTGACACACCTCAAACATCGTCAGGGCCACTTGCAGACTCGCAACTGATTAAAATAAATTCTGACGCACCAATTTCATACATGAACATCGGCTGACACAAATTCAATATGCATGGGGTCGACACAATGTGCTTCGTTTGGCAGGCAACGAGGCGAAGATGATCTGACAGAGAGAAGACTTCCAGCATAATACACACTGAGAGCAGCACTCTCCTGCAACACTAGCCCAGGCTGGCTAAATGCACAAACACAAAAACCTTGCACATCAGGCATGGTGGCTTACCTTATCTTCCTGCTAAGCTGGTACAGCCCAGTTACGGCCATGAACATATTTACCGACAGAAGGTTGTAGTTCACAGGGATGATCTGTGTGCTGTAGCGTGACCAAATTACGCCTGTAGCTGCAATGGCTGTGGAACACAGACAAAACAGACATTCATATCCTCTCTTGATCACATTCATCACGTGACAAGCAAAGCCCTTGTACGATGCCAGACAATGTTGGGCGTTGATCCCAAACACGTTTGTTTTATGGATCCCAAGTTGTTTGCTCGCATTCGTTTTCTGGCTAACCCTGAGTATTTAGTACAGCGCTGCAAAACGAAACAACAAGATCAAAGATGCATTGGTTACATGATCACCCCTCTCCAATGATGTGTTTGTGCGCCTTTGAGTGAGCATCCTCACTGGCACCAGCAGATACCAGCCACCATTCCAGCACATGGCCGACCTGCCAAGCGTGGGTGGGCCCCTCGCCAGTCAGGCTATGAACAATTCAACTAAATCTGGGTGCGCTGTGATGGACGCTGGTCACCGGCGGCCACACACACGACCTCAAAAGATGCTTTGTCGCCTCGCAATGCAATAACTGAAGGGCGGGCTCACAATCGAAATTATGCTAATGGAGCAAGCAAGCACCACAGGCATCCATTAAGGGGATGCCGACTACGTGCGGCAGGGTATTTGAGATTCACAACGTTGTTTTGGCGACAGGTGCATCGCTCCACGCCTTCACGGTCGAATGAGTATGGACGCCATGAACGTCCGCGAAATAGCACAGCTGGACAGCACGATTCTGACAGCCTTGCGACTGGGCCTGAGCGCTAGGCACGACACAGAGCGCTGGCACACCAGAGCTTAAGCAAGAACAAGGCACTGCGGCGTTCCTCCGCTTACCAGTCTGCTGGGGGTATGACACCTGCTCCGGGGGTCTCTGGAGGTCGGCGATGTTGGCGATGCTGATTCCCCACTTGAATGTGGGTGCCCAGAAATGGACTGCACGTACAAACAGCGTCCGCCAGTGATGACAGAACAGCGTCAAGGGGGAACTCCAGGCTCTCGACCCAGGACAAAAGCCTGGATCACCGCCATTTCACTGGACCCCCAACGATCGACGGCCCCTCGCTGCAGCCGGGAGATGCGCACTTGTCTTTGGTCCCGCCGGGTGGTTCAAGAAGGCTTGGAAGCGCGACGCCATGGCGTTGACAAAACGCCGCCCGGGGGCGCAGCGCTGCAAACACTGGGAGGCTGCCTTGCCTTGGGCGAAGGGCAAGGGGCGTCCTTTCGGTGCTGGCCCCCAAATTGAACCGGGATGCCCGAATAGCGAACGGCATCTGGGAGGAAATAGTATTACTGCCTGCACCAAATCGGTGACTGCTTGCACCAAATCACGTGAACACTATGTCCTAACCTCAGTTTTTGGGTGAGGGTGAGTTTTAGGGTGAGTTTTAGAGTTAGAGTTAGGTTTAGGGCAGAATTAGTTTTAGGGTTTAGGGTTTAGGATAGGTAAGTCCTGGAGGGAGTTGGTGCAAGCAGTCACCGATGTAGTGCAGAAAGTCACCGATTTGGTGCAGCCAGTAATTGTATGCCATCCGGGAGGTTCGTAACGGCCGGACGTGTGTCATGTGCCTCCCATAGGGCTTGTCGCTCCGTCCTTTGGGGAGGACGCCGGTGACGTAATGAGCATTTGTTCCTTGGGGACGTCCTCCCCGCTCGGGGCAACGTGCCTCCGGTTGAGTGCAAGGGGGGCCGCGCCACAGAATGGCGTTCGGCGGAGCGCGTCGGCAGTTGGCCTTGGCTGTGGTGTCAAAGCGGTTGCTGTGGGGCGGCACGGTGGCCGAGCGCGTGGCAATGGGGACATCTGCTGGCGTTGCTTGGGGTTCAGCGTTGTGCACACGTGGAGCTGCCAGCATCCTGGACGCGGATGGCCACTCGGCAGCACACGGCCGCCTGATTGTGAGTTCGAGGTACCGGCAGCTCGCTGTGTGCGGCGGGTTGGGAGTTTCATGTCGTCCTGGGGCGAGGTGCTTGTTTGCGGCGTCCCGGCACTCGATGTCAAGATCGGATGCTCTGTGGTGCAGCCAAGTGGGGGATGTTCACCAGAATGGTCCCGAGATGTCACAAGCCTTTCCAGGTGGGTGGTGTAAGACCTCAAAATTTTGTTTCTGCTTTTGGACACGATTTTTGACTGCAGTTCATGATGTTGCAGTTGTGCCTCATGGCCCATGCGATTTTCTGTACACGATTTTCCAACCCGAACTCCTTCCCTTTCACCCTTTTCCATTTATCTTTAGTACTGGCCTGCAGCTGTTCATTGGCATGCAGGGATGTGCTACAAACACAAATCCTGTCCACTAGATTCTTGCTGGCACTCATTTTTCACTGACAGATGTTGCAAGGGAGCAACCAATCCATCGCTCCTCACAAGCAGAAATTGCGATCGTTTTGCTGCCTGCGGCACTGTTAGAATTGTTGGGAAGCACAACATCAGATCGTTGTTCTAATTTGTAATTTCGTTCTCTTGGTGCTGATCTGATTGAGGATGTCTTCAAACTATTGAAAAACGTTCCAACAGCGCAAATCACTGCTCCTCACCTTCTGGGCGGCATCAGGACCTGCTTGAGTGCCTTTAATTTAGGCTACCAGTGATGGGAACTTTTGTGCTGCCTGCCAAGGTGTACAAAGCTGTTCTCAAGCAAAAGCCAGCCCAATGCTGAGAGTGCAAAAGCCAAAATTGGCCCACTCTCACACCTTCATGGTGCAAATGGAGTCGATGGAGATGGCAATATTGCAATGCAGCAACAGGAGTCTGCAAGGGGCAAAGTTGTGTTGTACAAAGGGCGTTGGATGGTGCCCTTTTACATCCTTGTGCGATTGAAGGTGTTCCAATTGCTTGGCTTTGGATCACTGGTGGTACCCTTGAACACCTGGTTAGTTGAGGTAAGCTCGATTCTGCTCGAGGGGCCAATGCAGTCAAGTTGATCTTCCTGTGACACCCCATGATCTGAGCAGATGCAAGGTTGCCAGCCAGTTCTTGCCATAACTCGACATAACCATTTGGAACAAAAACGCCAATGCCCTTTGCATCCTGAACCACGAGTGAACATAGCATTGCTCAGGCGTCAGTTTCATATCATGAGCATGTGGCTGCCCTGCTGGTTGAAATTGTATTTTTTGTCAGGTAGCACGGAAGATTGCGACACAAGGCCACAAGGAATGAGTCTCTGCCTTGCATGTCTTATCCCAAAAGTTGTTGGTTGGCAGACAGGCAAAGAAGGCAACAACATGTCCTGATTGCAGCCACTTTGTGTTGATACATGATGTGGGAACAGGTGACGAATGTTGGGTGGTGAGGAGGAGTTGCACAGTGAACAATAGGATGGCGAACAGGGGACCTTCAGTTGGTGTTTGGTTTCAAGCACACAGGTGGTATTTCAAAAGAAAAAAGGCTGTACGCACAGATTATTTGCTTTACTATGATGAGTTGCTTTCCATTGACAATGATGCCTCTTTGCACTGCATGAGCACAGTATGCTGGACTGTCATCAATTGAGTTTGGTGTGCTTGTGACTTGCTTGCAGGGGAGTCTTTCTCCAACAATGTGGTTGCTCACCATTTCCATTGTGTTTGGTTCTGGCGCGGCATCTACGGCCTTGTGGTTCTATTCACGCAGGTATCTAGGAGAACTGGCTCTGCTCAACAAAAGCACCATCCAGTTGAGTGTCATGGACTTTTGGGGAAACAGAGAGGTGGGCGATGATGAGCCTGCTGCATGCATCCATACACACAAGAACAACAACAAATTCCGTGGCACACCTTTTTGTTGCACTATGGGATATTCTTTTAGTGTCATGCACTGTGCATGTGTGTAACATAAATGGGCCATCGAGTCTGCATGCACACAGTGAGATGAAGTGACCTGCTGCTTGACATGCAACACCTGAAAGCGGCAGTGTGGTGGGAGTCAATATCGATGTGGGCAGCAAGGAATCTGTGTTTGGTGAACAGAATGAGGTAGCATTTGTGACATCAGCATATCCTGTGCGTGGCTGCTTATGTCTCCTTTTCCATTCTTATCAGGGGTGCAATTGCATCGCCTTGCATTGAGCACACAAACCATGCGGCAGCTGTTTGAAGCGACAGTCTCGAACTGCTGTCACTGGTTTTGCCCTTCTGGTGGTAAGATAGCATTAGGCGGACAGCTGCTAATGTGGCCTGTTGCCAGCTGCCTCTACACAGGGCTTACACCATGTTCTTCTCCCCAGGATATAGCAGTGCGAGTGGAGGATGTTGCACCCCCTCTAATGGGAATTTCGCCTCAAGCTCTGCAATTGCTTGCAGAGCAGACCTTCATCCCACTGGATGTGCGTGGTCAGCGGCAGTTCTTCCTGTCTTTGAGATATGGGCACATCGTCAACAAACAGGCAGGTCACGCTGGCACACTTTCAGATATGCTAACCCGTGCTGGAAAGAAGGAATCTGCTGAGTTCCCTGTGTGGCGTTCAGGAGCTGATGAAGCTGATGGATGGCAGCCTGGCGGAGCCTACGCAGAGGCACCAGGACGACACGGCAAGCAAGACGTTCCCGCATGGGTCGTGACGTGAAGCTGTAGTCACTGCCATTAAAACTGCCCGAGCCTCACACCACTGCCAATGGCACTGAGAAATCTTTCTGCTCGTAGTGCAGCCCAGTGCAGTATAATAAGTCGTGGATGCCACCTGAGCAACTGAATAGAAAGAGTTGCTTGTCGCTGCTATCTGGTATTTGACAGCACAGATCACCAAAACCGTGTAGTTGTTGGCGCCGCCCAGCTTTTGCACATTAGTTTCTCACTAGCTCACGAGAGCTGCAACGATCACTGAGCTGCACCAAGCGAGCTGGAAAGACGGACAGAGGCACTATCCTCCTGGACATCAAAGAGCCAGGTCAGCTGCTCTGTTGCTCAAAGGCCTGCACCTGATGGGCTCTGCATGGTGACCTGTGGTGCGTTGGCTGGCTTTCAACATGCTGGGACGGTTCGATGGTCTGGGAATTTGGGCAGCCTTGGAATTTGGGTGGATTTTGTGGGATGCGAGTCTCTCGGGGTACTGCGCGTCGAGGGAATGTAATACACCCTGTTTTACGAGAAATATTCAAGTGTATGCCTTGCAGTGCACCGTAACCGCAGCGTAACACCAGGGTCAGCAGCAAAGAAATGCAATGACCAGCTGGATGTAGGGGCCGGTGGAGGGGTCCAAGGGCCGTCGGCAGCTGTGGTGGAGAACTCCACATGTATTATGAATTGTTCCTCCGTGGCACCAGTGTTCGAGGCCGCTGGTGCCTTGCTTTCAAATAGAACGCAAGTGCCCTCGGCCGTGGCAGCCCTCGGCAGGCCAGACCCAAACAAGACCCAGGCGACGCCAATGCGGTGCCTCCTGAAAGCTGATTTCACAGCGCGTGAATAGGCAACGCCCCCGCGGACAATAGCATGGCGGACAATGCTGGGCAAGCTGTGCTGTTGAAATGAGCCGCAGACCAATTCGGAGGGCGGTGGAGAAGTAGTCGTCACACTGGGCGCTAGCCAAGCTTCTGTCAACAAGCGCAACGTCACGGGACTCCACGGCGGCTCTGGGTCAGCAATGGCGAGCATGTGGGTGTTGCGCATAAGAATCTGAGCAGGGCGCTGTACGTTTTGACGGAGGACCGACCGAGCCACTGGGTGCTGTTACATGAAATATGCAAGCAGCAGTGTTGTCAGCATTTGGCAAGCACCACCAAAGCAAAATTACACCTCCAGCCCACGTGAGTGGCAGTGGCATTCGCCAGCGCCCAACAATGTATTTGGTTTTCCGCCCCCGTGGATGCTGAGACCCCCAACAGCTCCTCAAATTTTTCCACAGCTGTGTATGCCAGCTGGGAATTTAAAACTCATCGATTTTCTTGCATTTTTTTTGGGAATTTTTATATTTTGGTGACACTTGGCCCAAGCCATGCCAAAAATGCACTGCTTGCCGTCTTCAGATGCGGACCTTCATGCCTTGAGAGTTGTTGGAAGTTGGCTGTTGACCTGTTTCTATACGAAACAATATGCATTTCCAAAGGAATCGCTTGCAAGACTAGGTCAGTGTGTGTTAGGCATATCTGTCGTCATGCAATGTCCCCATCTGTTGATTGGACCGGCAGAAGGCCGTCCACCACTACAGTTCGTGGTGTATTTTCGATCCAAAGTTGCCGATATTGTCGGGACATGCTTCAAGAAAGACGCAAACGCCCATCTCGCGGAAATGAGCAGGTACATGCTGCTGCAACGCGTCTCGCTTGGTTTTCCTCTCTTCCTGCCTCCACCAGCAACCCTGCCCTCTTTTTCCAACGTCTTCGTCATCATGCTGCAGCACTTACGACATCATGTGGCGAGAGTCCATGATGGAGTTGCTGGACTTGCTTGAAGCAGAGAACCCAGAAGACCCGGCGATGGCCCCAAAGGTACTAAAGAGTGCTCATGCACGCCAGCGCGTCATCTGAAATAGCAGATGCGCTTTCGTGCTCGTTTAAGTGTTGGCTTACTTCATTTGTGTTTATTGCTTTCTTTGCTGCTGCTCAAGGGGTGTATCCCATGCATTTTCACTCTACTCGCACTGTTGAAGTCTTGTCTGACCCGGTACCATTTTCCTGCCGGCAGTGCATCCAAAGTGAGTTGCAGCTCGCTGGCATTATGAGGTGGCACTCGGATAGCACGGGACAACAGCTTTTCGCTTTTTTCCCTGATTGCACCAGTGCTCGTCTGTTGACAGTTCCAGCTGGTGATCCGCTTTCATGAATAAGTCCCTTGCGCCTATAGAGACTTCTGAGCCGCTATTTGGGTGGTGTTCATCTCGTTCGTGTGTGCTTGTGATTGTTGCGTTGAAATGCTCATGAAAAAGCAAAACAAGGTGGGAGCGATTGTTAGCACGAGGACTGCAACTGTCCTTGAAATGCAGGAATGGCGCCCTGCGCCAAACGGGCGACTGCTGCTTGAAGCTTTCGCGAAGCAATTGCATTCGTTCCAATGTCTAGTTGCCCATCCGACCTGGTGGAGCCATATGGAAGGCTCAAGCACCGAGCGTGGCACTGCTGTATGTACTGGAAGTGTAGGATGCATATCAAATGTGACAGTATTGCTTGATTGCGTCATCAGCTGTGTCACCTCGCTCACCTGGCTGCGCTGCGCAGGAGTTGTCGGAATGGGCTTGTATTTATATCAAATACCTACAGACATTTCGCAAGCTTGAGATGGCGTACCATCAAATGTTGCACCCACAAAAGCGCATAGATATGAAACGAGCTCTGGAGGCGTGCATCGGGAGAATGCTGGAAATCCGCCACTGGCTGGTAGGCGCACCTGAGAATTCTCCACTTCGATTCAAAGAGGACAGGACACAAGAAAATTATCCATAGTTCACAGATCAGAACAGACCCCAACTGCAGATTTGCAATGCAGCTGTGGTCGTGTTAGTAGTTGCTTTTTCAAATGGGATACAATTGTGCCTAATTCCAATAGCGGGTCTACTAATAGACATACGAGTCACATTGTTTCCGCTGTCATCAAGTTTTGACAAATTTTCTTACGACGGCAGTGAGAAACCCTTGTCGTGGCTGTGCTACAACTTGCTGGCAATATCCCTCGACTTCTCAGAAGGGCAAAATATCTCGGGCATGGATCTGTATCTAGCCTGTCCTCTATGTCGGCACTCTGGACCAGCTGCCCATTCTGGATTCCTGGCCCGGCAGTCCATGTGCTCCACAAACAAGACTTGCTACTTGTCGTAGAATCGCGGCTTTATGGCTTGAGTACCGGTGCATAAAATTGACACACAGTGCTGGTTTAGGGAAGGCACTGTGTCGATTTCATTAGCGCCATCCTCAATTGACGTGGAGGCCGGACCTCGTTGCTCCCCACTCCCCAACCCAACCCCTCTTTCTTCTGTCTTAATGCTCATGCCGATATAAAGAGACTCAGCAACATCGCCCAACAGCGCAAAACAACATGTTTTTAAGGGAGAAAACGGCCAAAGTTGTAGCGATTGTAGTGGGCTGCAAAACGGGATGCCAGAACCCATGACATATGAGGACGGTTGCCCAAAAGGCTGTAAATTGACACATTCTATGCTTTCCCTTGAAGACCGAACGCTTGAGGGAGGTTTTGGAACTGTTGTGAGCTGTCTGCCGCTGATCAACGGCTTCGTGGGGCATTTTTCCACCACGTCTTCAGTTGCTCGCAATTGCATAATCTTTGGCATATCAAATTTGGATCCCCACCCAGCGTCAAGTTGACTTTAACCGCACCAAACTCGACATGGCCTCTTTCCTTAAAGAACCGAAAGAACTGCCAAGCAAAGCCATGTTGGTTTCTTGCTGCCTGTCACCATGTAATTGAAATTGAAATGCTCGTGGTTCCAGCATCGTGCTACGAACATTACACACAATATAAGAATGGAACGTGGAATGCCTGTAGTTCTGGCATCTTGTTGCTTGCGTTTGAGGCGAATCTTTGCATTTGATTCTGCGTGAATGAATCCTGACTCTGTCCAGGTAAAGCTGAACCGCTCGCTCGACTTCATTAACCTTGATGACGTCCTTGTGGATTTGAAATTGACACCAGAGTTCATAGAGATACCAGTCCCGAGGTACTTCAGGGAGGACAGGGCAAGGGTAAGATACAGGTTGCCAATTTCATCCATCTCAAAGATATTCGAGGCCACAGGCCAGTTTTCAATCGTTTCTTCATTTTCATGTAGTGACGCAAGCGTATCAAACATTTCTGGAACAAACGTGGCTTCCCTTTGGGTCGGTGACTGCAGGAACTTGAAGACAGGGACAAGTTTCTAGAGGCTCTGGTTGAGAAATACGCTGTGCCACAACCAGACCGGCCAGAAGTCATTCCAGCTCTGAATCCTCTGAAAGAAGAGGACGCGGTCGTCGTGATACAGGTAGTGTCCCTGGCGCATGCTCTCATTCTGATACCAGCAGGATTCATGGTCTCCATCTTTTTGTCTCTTTACTGTTTGATGATCACTACTTGGGTGATTGTTTGACTTTGGGGGGAAAGGAACACAGTGCATTAAGCACCTGCTTAGAAGAATTGCACATGAAGATTATTTCATAACTGTGGTCAATTAAAAGCTGCTCTTCCTGGTGGAAGTGACCTACAAGCGATAGAAACAGTAATGATGGACGTTGACATACTGCTTCAAGAACATTGAACATAAATGTGTGCCCCAGCATTTGTGCGCATTGGCGTTGCGTAAATCGAACAATGGAATTCTCTGTGAAGACTGCAGAATAATGAGCGGGGGAGGCAAGCGCGGGAAAAGGCAAAAGCTATGCTGTCGCTGAAGAAACAAAGACGATTGGAGGACAAGAGAAGCAAGATGGGGGTGGTAAGGGTGCTGCAATGGACAAGAGGAGCTGTGGTCATGATCGCGTCGTCGTTTCTGAGATGATTGTCAAAACTCACCCATAAGCTGATTTCGTTCTCTCCCAAGATTTATTTCGCAGTTCGAACTCCTGTTGCTCCGATGGCGACCCGTGCGCTGCGCATTGATTGTGTTCTGCTGCTGGAAATGTTCTAATAGGCCATCACTCACGAACAAGCTGCAACGACCATCCAGTCTGCCATTAGAGGAATGCTTTGGCGAAGAAGGGTGCGCAGAGAGGCAGACAAGGAACTGGTTTTCATCGAAATGAAATTGAAGGTAATTCTAATGGGATGGAGGATGGATGGGCAGATTCAGGTATAAAGAAAAGTCTTAAGAACATATGCTGAGATTAAGAACGTATCCGTGCAGGTGCAACCTGATGATTCAGAGAAACCAGGGTGTTTTGCCGCGAAAGTCCACGAAGGCCTGAACACGCTTGCCTCTTTATCTCTCTGGTCGTAACTGTGTTGAAATCTGATGCCACAGGGATGTCAAAAAGGTGGATAGCAGAACCATGATGTGTGTGCGAATGACAGGTTAAAGATGCAGCAAAGGATCCCTGCGTTATCGAAGGCGCCAACTTGTCCCGAAGAAAGCGCCTGCAAGAAGAGAACTCGAGGGAATACGATGACGCAATAGTGACGCTGAAAGATAAAGTGAGAGACACAGAAGGGCAGGATATGAGAGAGACGATACAGGACAAGGTATGCACTTCCTGCGCTGACGCCCGGACACCATATGCGGGCACAAGCGCACATCTGAACCAGTCTGATCCATATTGATCTGCCATTCGCGTTGCTGTCCTGGTGGACACCAGTTAAGACTGGAAACATGACATGCATATGAATCAAAGCGGCAAGCCCAGGAACTTCCAACTCACACTGAACGACCTCAAAAGTCAACTGGGTGTTCCTGCAAAAAGGGATAAATCGCAAATCCGGTGGAATAGAAAAAACAAGCACGGGCCAGCAGCCTCACGTTTGCAGATATAGCTGAAGGCAATAACGAGTGCATGATGGACGGCTTCTACTAAGCATCTAGCCAATGTTTAGCTCGACATGCTTTTTTCACAAATATTTCATATTGCCTGCCCATCGAAAAACGCCATATCAGCAGCTATGGCACCTCGATGCACAGTGAGATTCAATTGCACAAATTGCCATTGCTGAAATTGCATTGTTTGTTGCTCTCCCAATCCACAGAGGTGCACTCTACCCATTTCCAAAGATCGCACATCCGACGCAGTGGGATCATCGGTTTCGGAAGAATGGATCGAGCATTGCCTTTCTGTAGCTTGTCTGTCAATCTGTTGGACAGATTTTTCGCAGACACTGTTGTTTTTCAGCTGAAAAACAGGACAATGTTCGGCTGAAAAACAGGGAATATACGACTGCAGGTCAATGCCTGGTTCGTGGAGAACCGGCACCCGGAAACGGGTGAATATCCAGATTTCCCTGAGCCTGAAGAGGGAGGCTCGAAGCGCATTCTCAATCCGCCCCCACCTCCACCAGAGCCTGTGGAGGCCTCTGAAGATGGTGGAAAAGACAAAGGGAAGGGAAAAGGCGGAAAAGACAAGGGTGACAAAGGTACACGATATGCCGTGAGGTTGCTGACGTGAAAGCCAGCGTATTGCCAGCGAAGCAGCCATTGTGGAGTTTCGGTTTATCTGAACCAAAAATCACAGCACCAAGAATGGTTGCAGAGTTCACAGTGCTGTTCGAATACTGATGCAATAGGCAGGACCAAAATCGAGCTGTTCCTTGCATTTTGCTTGTCGCGTCTGTGCTCTGCATCTTGGCAGTCGCAACGTCAAGTGCTCAGTGTCTGATATTGTTCATTGGGATGCAAGGTGCAGCAGAAGAAGCTGCAGGGGAAGATGTTGTGGAAGAAGTAGTCAGGAGTGCTTTTGTCCCTGACATCGAGGAGGCTGTCCAGGAGTACGTAATCAAGTGGCAAGATAGAGACGAGAGAGATAATTTCCAACAGAAGTACGATGCTGAGCTCGTGAAGGATGAGCTGCGGCCCATTGTTTTTGAGGAAATCCGCGAGCAAGTCGATGAGGAAGTCAGAGCGATGCTTCAAAATCTGAAGGTGGGATAAGATGTGTTCCAAGTTTGTGAGACAAACGGAATGATTTTTATGCTCTTTGTGCACTGGGCTCATATGGCTGACTTTTCTTCAATGCAATGAAATATCATGAACTGGCAACTGAATGGAGAGTATGTCTTTGTATATTTCGCTGCGCTTGTTAGGGCGGTGGAAGCGCTTTTAGGTCTGACAGCAACCTTGGCAGATTCGCATATTTTCCATCCACTTGCCTATCTTGAATTGTGACAGGATATGATTGAAGCAGAAAGAGCGGCGAAATTGGGAAAGAAGGGAGGCAAAAAGAAGAAGGGAAAGAAGGGTAAGAAGGGCAAGAAAGGAAAAGGGGACAAGAAGGGAAAGAAGAAAAAAGACCCCACGGTGTGTGATTCACGTACTTGCATCGCTCTAATACATTTTCATCGCAGATACCGTCATATTGTGCTTGCAATACGTTCTAGAGGTCGGCGTTGCAGGCCGTTATTTACTGGCACCCGTGGTGTGGACCATATGCCGTAAGCCGCCATCGAAACTCACGATGCCAGAAAGCTTTATGGATTGCACAATTAACAACAGGGTTACTAAGTAACGCGTAACGTTGGTCTGTCTCTTGGCTGTCTTTGTTCCAGTCGGGGACTTGCATTGTCCAGAGGAACATCGCCACCCAAGAACTTAACGAAATCTACTGAAATCTAGTGAAATTGTGTTCTTCCATTATCGAAAACGTTCTCTCGCCATATGGCGGCCGTTCATGTTGCACGTTCTCTTCGCGGGTATGAGCCAAGCGAACCAGCCGCAAGCTCACCCGGAAATTGGTTGCATTCAGGCAGACAGAAGCATGGAGTCGCTTTATGCAGAGCTTGTCAGCAATGGAGTACTGCAGACATGCATTCAAGTGCATATCGAGGATTACTTAGGAGCACCCAACTACCTGGGCGCCACACTTGAGAAGGCAGGAATCATTCCGGACGCCTCCATGGCTCAAATACGGCAGGCCGTCAACGAATATGCCATCCTTCCCTTGGGATCTGCCTACCTTCATGAAAAGTGAGCAAGTGTGTTGGTAGGGCGCAAATGCATCTGCAGTGCAGAGCCCCAGTTTGCCACTGTCGAAAACGCCAAAAGCTTTCTCAGCACAAGGAATGACGGATATTCCGATGTGGGAGTCGCTGTGCCAGAGGACATTATCTCTTCTCACCGCCTGGACAACGAAAGAGCAGTCGTGAATCATAACCCCTGGCTGCAAAAGGCTGCCCTGAAACTGGTTGTGGAAACACATTATCCACACCACGCAGTTTTCTGTCGACCTTCGAGCCCTGGACTCCGCTCTGAAACATCCGACACCCTGCTGAAGCTGGTTTTCTGCATTTTGCTTCCCGTCAGGATCATTCAGTGGGGTCCATCGCATTGGCTGTGGAGTCATTTCTTCAGTATCTACAATACTGAATGCGTCGGAATGCGGCATTGATACCATCCATATTTGTGACCACATCTACGTGTAGGCTGCCATTCGTCAAGACTATTTTGCTGTATGGCGCGGAGAAGACGGGAAAGACTCTGCTGGCCCATGCTGTGTCCAACCTCGTGGGAGCAAACTTTTTTAACCTCAGTCCACGCAACACAGATGGCAAGTATCCTTCTAAAGCAGTCGCCATGATGATACACATGGTACGTATGGTGCACTCAAGGACTTAATCTGCGGTAAACCTACAATGAAAGTCTGTTCGCGGGTGCGATTGTGGTGCAAGCTACTGTGAGCAACCAGATTGCCAGAAAAATCACAAGCCAGCTTCTACAGAAGTTTGTGTACTGTTGAAATTGTAGCATAAAGTGGTTTCACAGTCCAAATCACAACTGAAATTGTGCTGATCTTACTGTTCAAGGTGTTCAAAGTTGCCAAGATCATGGCTCCGTCTGTGGTCTACTTGGACGAGGTGGAGAAGGTGAGGGACGAGCGGAGCTGACAGGCGTGGCTTAGTACGCTTGCTATCCGAAATTTGTTCGCCGTACCACATCGAAACCGTACACGCTTCTGGAAGTTCTCATATGTGGATGCAACTAACTGCCAGTCTGAATGAAAGGAGCGATGAATTTTCCCTGGCACACCCAGGTCTTTCTGACGGACAAAAAGAAGCTCAAAGAATTTGGGGGATCGGAGCCCTTCAATCGCATCAAAAAAGAGTTCTTAAAAGAGGTGGGAAAGGGCGTTGAGGAACCGTGGAGTTCCTCTGCACGCAGCGTCAGAGTGCCCCCACAAGGCTGTGCTCTCCATTGCTGAGGAGCGTCATGTGCGGCACTGGCGTCAAACGGCAATGCAAAGCACCTACCGCAGGCTCAAAGCTTGGATTCCCATCGGTGTGTCTTGTCCTGCGCATGTGCATTTTTTACGGGGTGTGGGTGAACGTGCAATTCATTGCGATCACACGTGCAACTGATTATCGGTCTTTGCTCGATGACACATGTGACGTTGCGACCATATCACGTGAAGCCGCGTTTGTGTCTCATCTTGTGCTGGACCGCATTATAACCCCCATTTCAGTGGTGCCTCACCTTCCAAATACGATTCAGGATGTTGCTGCTGCTCTCAGGTGAAGAGTTTGAAGGCAGGCGACAGAGTGCTAGTGATTGGCTGCACACGCGAGCCATTCCTGTGCGTTAAAAAGGACGAAAAGGCTTTCATAGGCTTCTGGGACAAACACATCTTCCTTCCACTTTCTGACTACGCGTCGAGAAGGGTGAGCCGCAACCCACGCTGGTGTTCGATTGCAGCTTTGAGAATTGTGCCAAAAGCGATTCGAGAGAAGGCGGTACACGGTAGACCGGGGCGCATGTTCTTCTTTTGACATTTTGTGGACACATTTCGGCATTCTTGTGATGTAGCGTTGTTGCCGGGCCGCGCCAAGGGGCAGGTCATTTGGCTGGTCCCCATGGACCGACGCGTTGGCACCGTGAACGCTTCGCGCATACGCATCCATATGTTTCCGGCCGTTTAGCGCCAAGTACTAAACAAAGGGACGCTCTGTGTCGTTGAAGTTACTATGTGCTGCTGGAGTCGAGCTTAGATGCAGGCTTGTTTTTGGCGCGTACGTTCACGTTTTTATGCATAAAACGTGAATTTGCAAAACGGGCTATTTTTGCGGCTGTGTTGACGTTTCCACAGAAACCAGGCTACAGGATGAAAGTCGAATACAATGATCAGCCCTCGGCCCCCTCGAACGTACAGAACATAGCGACCACCTCACCATTGGCAAGGGCAACGACGCCGTCGGACAAAAATTCGTTTTCTGCCCACTCCAGCGCATCTGGCTGCCATTCCCTGGGCTCCGCAAGTCTGCGTGTACTGTGTACACAGGGTCGTATTTACGCTGCACTTACGTATTTTCACGCTTCTCTACGATTTTCTACGCGTAAAAAATTAAAACTATTTTTGCGTGTAAAATGTAAGTACGATCTGTTTTTATGGCCCAAATAACAAGCCTGCTTAGCGAACAATGTCGTCTTGAGCAATACGGTTGCCATCTGAAAAAGTGGCTTTGGGACGTTAGATGCTGTGGCCAGGGCTAATTGAGAGGCATGGAGGGCATCTTGAGTACGGCTTCGACCTCTCCACTTTGGCGCACATTTCCAACCATTACACGTCAGGGGCAATTGATCAGGTGCGGCCTGTACTGGGATAGACGCGGCCGCGGAGCATGACTTCCGAGAGCAGACGGATCACTTTCGATTGGGAGGAATTTCAGTGCCGGAATTCAGGCGCTGGCATGAAACAAAATTTGTTCATCTACCATTTTAGACTGCGGACGCGTTTACTATGGCCTCATGGTGCAGCGCGGATCCATGTCGTGACAAGAGCCTTGTTGACGCATGTGCCGCAAAGTCGCGGCCTCCATGCTGGCGTGGGGGCCTCAGTTCCGCTGTGGAGATTCTGGCTCAACGTTACTGGGATAACACGGCCTGTACTCAGCAGTCGTCGTGCGGATATGTGGCAACTTGCCACTCGTAAGGCATGCTCGTCATCACTCCGATTTGTACATGGAGGGCTGTGGGAGGGACCACGATTTACATGCGTGGCACATATGGGGCATACCTAAGGAACGCAATGCCCAACCTTGTCGTCGAAGGCGTTCAGTAACCAGTTGCTTTCGTTCTCACCACACTTTCCGCCTGCCCGTGATGCAGGTTGTTCGCTCCATGCTGACAAAGAGGAGGTTAGCACGAATGTCGGTTAACGAAATCCAGATGGATGAGATCCTGCAGTGGCTGTGCAAGCTCAAGCCCATTTCGAAGGAAACAGATGAGGCCCTCCGCAAATGGACAGAAAAATTGCCTGCCAGGGTGGCGCTGCAGGTATGCCTTCCTTCGTGCATTTGGCGGTTAATCTATGCGACTTCTATTTTGATACAGTCGGCTGGTGTGTGTATGGTGCATTGATTTCCTCACGCCTTCATATTTGTGCGATAGATACCAGAACTGGTGACTCCTGTCTTTCAATTGTGCGGGCTGCACAGACGAGGGAAAGGAGCCACAAGTTGCATGAACATCGTTCCGCGTGCATAGCCCACGTGAACATTGCTACTCTTCGAAGGTGGCAAACGAGAATTTGCTGCATGCTGCGAACAGGCCGGTGACAAACCTGCACCTGCAAAAGCGGCAGGAAAAGGAAAGAAAGGCAAGAAAAAGTGACACAAGCAGCAGTAGCAAACCTTTGACGACTCCATGGGACTACGTTGGTCACGGGAAGCCGACCCAGAAGTTGGTTTCACAGGGCATCGTGACTGGCGCCTGACTGTGCTCTCACCCTAGGGGCCAGAAGCCACAGACCGTGTCGTGACCACACAGTGCGACAATGCGGACCTTGCCTTCGAAGCAATAGCCAACACTTGATCATGAGGCGAAACCACTGCTGCGCACTTGCAGCTATCATTCGGGCAACAAATACGGCCGAAATGCAATAGCCTGTGGTTGTGTGCTGGTGTATACACTGCTGCGTAGTGGCCAGCCACTACGCAATTTGCACACATTCCGGAGGCATGTTTGGGCCAACCACGCTCACAAGCGCACACAGATATGCACAACCCGATTAACCCCAAAGGGAATGCGGCACACCAGAATGCCATCCACGACCTGTTTGGGCCCAACAAATCCGCCCCCAGCGAGTTTAACAGCACACTCACAACAAAGTACACGACTTCATCAACTTGGACTGCACATGGCTTGAGGCACACAGGCAAGAGGGGCTCGGTCACATGCTTTCCCCACCTGTTTTCCCCATTTGGGGTTTGCCACCACCCCCCAGATCGCCGTTGCACTTTGCCAGACCTTCATCCACCACGAGCCACTCCAAACGCTGGACCCTAACCTTCTACCATCCCGACTCGCAGACATCTGCAGCAACATCCGCAACAGTCTTGCCCTGCCCTTGAATGAACCGTTAGGTGTCTTGGCAACATGCCCCTCTTCAGTTTTCTCAACCACTTGCCCAGTTTGCTCAGCAAGTCCTCTTCCACCATCTCCATCATCCAGTCCTCGTCTGTGCCCAAAGGAATACCATTGCAGCTGGGCGTGCAGTGATGCTGTGATCTGAGAACACACAGCGAGTCCCTGCATTTGTACATCTATCTGCTGACTAATCTTCAATATTTGGCAGGTGTTGCATCAATGCCATTGCCTTTTCTATTCGGTGCAAGTGTGCTGTTCACACAGAAAGAGTTGGTGTTTTCATACATGATTTGCAAACCAATTTGTTCACTACTTGCAGTTTTCAGCATGCTTTCTTTGCTATTTGCCATGCTTCATAGTGGTCCTATCCAAACCCCTGGCTGGTCTATGGTGTGGTGTCAACCAATTGGTCACCATGGTCAGATATGTACCCCACATCGAGTGGTGGGACAACCTGATTGAAGGTGAATCTACTGCATCCAGAGCTTCTAACGAGGTTTCCCTGTCGAGCTCAGCCAACCCCAACTGGACACCCAGCGTTTTAAACTGCCATCCTTTGCGCACCCCACAAGCACTCCATTGGCCACGAGGAAATGGGATGTTTGTGCCACACTCCATGATCAAAACTTGCCACTTTGGACTCAGCTGTCATGCAATCCTGTCAGTCTTGAGATGGCACACCCTTCAGCTTTGCCTGATGTCCGCACAAGCATTTCATATGTTCGCCTCGGAATCCAGCATCAAATACCGGGCGCCCTCTGAACACCAAATGGGGAAGACATGACACCAGAAGCCGAGTCCAAATAATGTGCTGGAGAGGAGTTTGTGCCCGATCGTAGCATCAAAGCCTCAACATGGTTCCATTTCCCCTTGTGCCATGCCTGTCACAAACTGCAAAGCAATGGATTTTGGCCTCCATGCTTGTATGACCTGAGCACTTGCCAGTGTCGTATTCAGAAGGAATCATTGGCAAGATCAGGGTGCAACCTGCTCACATGGTGCACAATGTGGAGGAACGAGGTGTTCGTGGGTGCATGGACTGTGGAGATGGTGCTAAACATGTGCCTGCAGTATGTCCAGCCCCAAGTGCGTTCAGAGAGTGGACATTCAGGATCCCGTGCACTTGAGCCACAAGGTGCTGGGGCAAGCCCATGTTGCACAGCAGGATGCATTGTTATTGCAAAGATCTGGACAAGGTACAGACAACAAATGGAGACCCACAGCGCTCACGGTAGAAGGACAATGCTTTGCGGCAGAGTTGTCATGGTTCTGCACTGTGAATTGTCTCTTGCCAGTGGCAGTTGCACTGTTGGGAGCATCTGGAGCCATGGTTATGTGATGCTGGATGCATGGCAGGGTCCACACATGTGACCAATAATCCTAAATAGTTGGTGGGTCCAGCCCAGTACTCACATCCAACCAAAACCTTGAACCAACAATCTGCACGCAGAGCCCAAAACCGCCGATTTGTATTGCCCCATCCAACTCCTTTGGAGTTGTTAAAATATGTGAACACACATGAATTGCCGTCATCGACGGTTTCCTCTGTTCGTTGAAACCAGTCGGCAACTGCAGCAAATCCAGCAAGTTGACCCAAGGCTGCTAAGAAAAAGGTACCTGGAAAGCTGGATCACCAGTAAATTAGTGATGCCAAGAGACTCATTCGTCCGAAGCAGCTGGCTCTACAGCCTCTGCTCTATTGGCAAAGCCCTGATGCTGCAGGAGATTCTCCTGTTCTCTGGCTCTGCACCAATGATCTTGACCCTGATGATCTGGCCAACCTCCAAGACATCTTCAACATGGGTGACGAAAGCCTCCTACAAACGCACACATGAGAGCACACATGATAGAGAGCACACAAGACTCACTGCTTCACCTTGCACATGGACAGGAGCTGCAAGTGACAGGTCAAACTGTGCAGTCAATTTTGCATGGCTTGCAAACTCCAGACACCATTGGGGGCTGCCCTTCCAGCAAAGCAAGGAGCCAAGAGATCCGGAAGAACCTCACCGAAATCTCCGAAATGTGCACCAGGCCATCGCTCTCAGCCCCGATGTCCACAAATGCTCCAAATGGTACAATCTTCACCTGGACACGGCAGCCGGTTCACACGTCGCCATCAGACACACCGACAAGAACGCATATGAAAGCTTTGGACCGACACACGCACAGCCACCTTACCACTCTCGCTTTGTATATCGCTCCAACCTCAATGTCATACAGGGACGTCCTTTCCTGCTTCGTTGGTTGCGCCCCACCGGCTCCCTCATCTTCCTCGCTGATCGCGCACACCCGCTGCAGAGAGAGACGCTCGCAGCGAGGCGACCAGCCCAGGCCCTGAGCAGAACCCGTCTGCGGCGGCGAGCTGCAAGCGGCACCCCAGCCCACCATCAGGCTGGCGCACGCAACTTGATGGTCGCGCATCAAACAGGCGTGGGCAACGGTGCGCCCTCCTGGACATCGACAGAAAACATGGACGAAGACTCACCTTCTGGACTGCTGGTGAGCACGAAGGAGGGTGCGGGTGGCATGAGGGGCGATACGCGGGCCCACCTGCGCGCAGCGACACGCACGGTTGGAGCGGGGCGATCCACAGCAGCGTCGGGAGGAGACAATCGAAGGGCAAGCCCCGCGGAAAAGCAGGGACCTGCCTGCGCCGCCAAGTGCCCACAGGCGTTCTGCAGCCTGTTGCTCAGATCCATGGTGAAGATGCCACTGTTTGCCTTGGGCGGGGCTCGCGGCGGACTGGGCGTGTCTGTGCTTGTTGGGGTGTGTTTGGCCGCCACCGCCCGGGCCGCTAGAGCGCTCACATATGGCCAAGTTCACAATCTGCCACGTCATTTTCCCCTTTTTTGCCGCTCTCCTGGGTCCCCGGGGACCAGGACCCACAAACACAGGCCATCCCCGAATAACACCAGACTTTGTATCAAATGTACTTTGACCGGCGCACATTACCTTCATCACTCAACCCAAGGCACCCAAACTCAAACTACCCTTCTGCTTCGCATTAAAATCACGCCTTAGAAATACATGAGTCAACCCTGAGTCAGCTCCCCATTCGCGTACTTCCATTCCTGACCATCCCGCAACTAACCGAACCTCACTCTCTTTGGACGGCTTTGGATGGCGGGTGCGGAGCAAGATGGAGTGGGAACCAAAGAGGGAGCCTCAACGGCCGCTCCCTTTCAGCCCACCCAAAGCCCGCCAAACTCCAAGGATGCCAAACAACTGACGGCCCTTGCTGCGTGCATTGGACTTTGACTCACCCAAGGTACCAGGTGGTGAGAAGCCAGAAGGTGGGGCCTGAATTGGCCGTTTGAAAACAGTTGTCGACTCAAACTGTCAGCATAGCCCATCTAACGGCGCCCTTGGCAAAAACCCATCGACAGGTTAGTCAGTTCTATATCCTAGTCCCGTAAAGTGCATAAGGCCCAGTGGCGTGTTACACAGGTGGGCCACAGCCATCGGCTGAGCTTGGGGAAAACCAGTGTCAATCCCAACACCAAAACAACGGGGCTTGGACACCCAGTTTGCATTACATATTGCTGTATACATGCAACTCGACCCCTTTTCCATTGATATCCATTTGTTTGCATCAGTCCAAATTGACCATAATTCTGCCAATGCTTTCCCACAGGCGAACTGCAGCGGACTGGTCCATGGAGGGAGCTCCTAAGACTCGACAAAGCGGCCACACCAAACCCATCCACTGTTCGATAGCACTCATGTCCCAAACATGCCATCAATGGCATCAGATCAGTTTTTCAAATGGTATTAGCCCATACTCGCATCAGACTTGGTCGCAATGATGGACCTGAGCACCAAAGGTCCACATCTCATGCGCAAGATGCACATGCACTATGGGAGAAACTTCACAGCAGACATTGGGCTACCACTCCACTACAGCACCATAACTCTTGAGTTGATCAAGTACGGGCTCTGAAACGTTGTCTTGTCTCCAGATTTCTTCCCCGGTTGAGGCAACAAACGGCACGACAGAGGTTTGTCCAGTCTGTTTGCAGCATGACACCTTCATTAGAAGATGGGAATCTTGATGCACCGCTCGAAGAAAATGCAAATTACAGGCAAGGAGCACCCATCAAATGCTTACATCACCCAAGAAAGACTGTGTCCAGGAATGATACTATGAGCAACACATCACGTCCCACTGATTTGCTGTGTCCTGAAGTGCAATAGAATCGCAAATGCTAAACATCATCCACAAATGACAGCAAGGCAGTGGCTCACATGTCACATATTACATTCCGAAATCCTGAAGCCAATACCAGCAACAACAGCCTACTTCTGCAACAGTGCAGAATGTTCAGGAAGATTATTGGTGGAAAGCAATTTGAAATGGATTCTGGAATGTTGGAAGCAGTCACAGTCGCAGAATGGGCTACCTGTGCACAGGGAAAAGAGCATACTGTGGCTATATGCTAAGATTATGGGATCTCGGGGTGGGGTTCAAACGTGGGCTGAACATCCATGTACAACCCATCAAGATGGCAGCAGGGGACATGTTTTCACAGTTCTTGCTGCCACAGGAGAGCATCAGTGTGACTGGATCCACACACAGGCCCTGGACTAAACGGATATGAAGTGTGCCGCAAAGTGCAGTCATGGCATAGTTGACCCATCAGTGTATTTAATGAATACCTCAATTTCCCATCTCCCCCTCTACCTTTGTGCGGGTGCATTATAAGGATAGGAGGCCCAGAAACCTCCACATTTCCTGCATATGGAGTCGAAGAAACAAGAACCTGACAAGCCCCACCCAATACTAAGGCAGGAGGGTTGAGAAAGGTGACGCCATCTAACAGAATGGGAAGTGAGCCACCTGTGCAACTGTGCAGCCTGTGCAACTCGAAATGTTCCAGGATGTGATAGGTCCATGGCCAATACATACCGAAAAGCCAACGCCGTCAAATCCATGATGATGCCTGCAATCTTCTGCTCAACTGTCCTATCTTCGACAGGGTCCCCTGTATACCCCTGTATGGGAACAGTGTCTAGGCCACAGCCGCAGAAGCACGAATACTGCAGGAGGTCAGCAATCCGCAAGTGTCCCTAGAGTCAGCAGGCCACAAGCAATCAGGGGAGCGTCTTCACCTCATCCTGCTTACTGGACACACAATGTCTGAACACTAATTCCTTCTGTGCACAACCTGAAACCAAGGATGGGCCCGTGCAGCTGTTCTCCATGCAAAGATGGTGTACTGCCCACTGTGTGCGCACACACTCAAGACAACAGCCCAATTAACAACAGCCAGCAGAATCACTCAAGGCCCAGATTTCAGCACCATCTGCACAAGTCAAGCAAAACAGGCAGTGAACACCAACAGCAGCAAGTTCACTGTGCAGCGCTGCTATTGTTGCTGGCCGTTGTTGCCGAGTAGACTCACCTCTGCTGCCGCCTTGCTCAGTCCTGCATCTTCACACACTGGAAGCATCAAGCCGCAATACCCACCCTTCCTAACTGGAATTCTCTTCAGTACTGATGTCACCAACGAACACACAGCAAGCGTTCCTGCACACATACGCCAGCAAACAGAATCAGTCTGTCACTCTCTTCATGTACCACAGGATGCAGCACTGGCCATCCACATGTGCACAAGGCCTTGAGGAGCAAAGAGCATGGATGTCAAAAGTCCGAATCATCACCATGTGGGTGCAAGGACAGGAGCTAGACAAACGTAGTCAGGTGCAGAAGGACACCAGTAACAGCACAGGTTGCATCAGAACGTTTCCAAATAAAGTCCCACCATGTGGCAAACCAAAGTTAATGTATCCAGAGAATACAGCATGTCAAGTGGCAAAGAATGTGTAGCAAGAGGTCTGCAACATCCGCAAGTATAGGTACCTGCAAGTCTGCTGTCTACAAATGCTCTGAAGGTCATTTCAGTTCTCCTGTACAGGTGTACAATGGAAAGCAAACCATAGTATGCAACTATAGTACCCATGATTTGGCAAGTACAAATGCAATGAGGACACCAGCACTAGGAACTTTTGATTTGCAAGCACTGCACGCCTTGAAAACAAATTGTGCTGCCAGAGATGGTCAGTTTCTCGCGATACCTTTGCTCCTGCAAAATCCTGCACAAACTCCATCTGACAAATTGACAGCAGCTTACCTGGTCCACCAAATGGCCCAATGCCCAGTGCCTCGAATGAATCTGTCATTGAGGGAGTGTCCAATCCAGGGGCAAGGCTTGTGTCAATGTGCATGTAGGGCACCCCAAGGTCTCTTTCCAGCCTTTCTGCAATTCGTTGTACGGGCTCCAAAGCTTCGGTCAGTGCATCGTACAACAGCTGCTCCGCCTTCTCCAGATCTTCACAAGCTGCCTGCCTGCCATTGCAAGCACGATAATTGGCAAATCACATTTGGCATTCTTGAGGTTTATGCCCTTTAAACAAATTCAGAAGATCATTACTGTAGAATGGGGCTGTACATGTATGCACAAATCAGGCACCGACTGGAGCTTGACTGACACGGTTCCCTACTCTTCCTGGATCTGCCCACCTTGAATGCTGAGTGCAAAACTCCATCGTTCTCTGTGCCAATGGCAAACCCAGGGCTGCTGCCTTCTTCAGCATATCCAACAGGAAAAAATGGTATACCTGGCGGACAATTGGCCGCAACACAGAACCGGAAGTTGCCCTCCCCGTCTGCAACACACACACACACACACACACACACAAAAGGTGCAAGGTGTGAAACTTGGCCAGATTAACACATTCTATCAGTGAACGAAACTGCCTACAACTGTCAGAGCTGTAGAACAGCATTCATCTACCAGACCACCATGCTCCAAGAACAAAAAAGGATCTGACGCCTGTTGCCTTCTCAGAGAGATGCTGGGCATTCAATGGTACCGAACAAGTTGCAGAAAGCTGGGAACGGCAGTTTAATACCTATTTCCTAGTTTTGTTCAAAACTTTATCCAATAAACATTCTGCGCATAAATAGAAACATTGCCATTCAACCACCAGGTCTGGGAACCGTCTAACAAAAACTAGTGTTGTCCATTCTAGCATTGGATCAGGGCGTTGGAAATTCAAGTGGTGCAGAAACCTTGCAATTTGTTGGAACTGCGCACCCTGCATGCAATCCATAGCAGCAAGCAGGATGTGGGCCTGGATCCTGAGCATGCCGTGCCGCCTAGCCGTTCACAAGAGCATATTGTTTCCAAAATGTATGCAGAAAACAATGGAATCGGCAGTCTGCAGGCAGAGCCAATAAAAAACCAAAAGCTTGCTGTTCAATCGCAGACAATGTCACAACCATGCAACGCATACCAGCGGTGGGTGTGGTACCTGTCATCCTCCCAGGTGCCACAATGGAAAGCAAGCAGATTCGGCCATTAGTGTGCAGGGTGTAAGTCACTGAGCGGTGATGCTGGCTCAGTACCGAATTCCCAATGAACCAGAAGGAGCGCAGCCATTTCGCCTATGGACTGCAAAAGCACGGCTGCCTTGTTACTGAGCCATGCACAGCACCCAAACACCACACTATTGCAGGGGACTGAGTCTATGGTCCTTGATATTTGTGCCACAAAAGGGAAACCTCCCACCTGTCATCGACGCCAACTCCAATATGCACTTTGCTGCTCCCAGCGCCATCTTGGGGGTCAGCCGCCGCGGTAGGGCCACTGAGCAGCTCACGTGCCGCGTGTCGCGCAAAATGTGTGGGACCTTGTCGAAGGCCTCGGGGTCCAGCAAAGGACCGATGTTCACAAATTTGACCCTGCGCCCGGCAGCCCAGCCCTCCAGCTCCTTGATCGACGCCGTCAGCTCTGGCAGGGGCTGGGACGCATGCCGTTGGGGGGCGGCGATCCGCGTCGTCTGGACGACATAACCTTCGTAGCACACAGCAATCGCTGACTGGACATCCAAGCATGAACACCAACGGCAAGGGCACGGCTGGCACCTTATCAGCGCAGATGGAGACATTTCAGCGGACCTGAATGCCCACGCACACACGCTGAGCAAGTGAAACAAGCACCGGATCGGGGCAAGTGAAACATCCGCAAAGCACGTGCCTTCGTCCTCGTACATCTGCTGGGCCGCCTGCAGGAACGCGGCGCCGGCCGCGATCCCTTCTTCGGACGCGTCAGAGAGGAAGTACGTGATGGTCCGCAGCCGCAGAGGGCGTTCCATCCTCACGCAGCTGCTGGAAAGGCGGGGCTGTCCCAATACGGACCAGGCACGAGGCACTTGACCCCTTGCAAGGGCATTTGTTGTCGGGCGTTCGGATTGAGCCGTCAAAGGAATGGAAGGTGGACCCCAGGGCACAAAGATTCTTGAAGTGACAGCTGCGATAAAATTGTCGTGGAAAAATGTCAACAGAAAGTCGTTTGTTGAGCAGATTTCTGGGTGGGCTGCCGGGTGCGATACGATGCAAGGGGTATGGTCGGCATACGGCCCCCCTCCAGGACTGCATTCAGTTCCGCCAAGTTGCAACGGCTTGTTTCGAAGCATCGAGCTGGGAGGGATGCTTCGCAACGGTGGCATTCTTGAAGCCCTGTCCAAAGACGGCACAACCTGCGGCGCTGCGCGCATCCTGAGCGCCGTCGTCTGCCTCCCTCAATCCTGGCAGTGGGATGCGGCGAGGTGTAGCAATAGAACCGACGGGAATTTCGGGGCTTGCCCTCCTGCAGCCGCCCACAGATTTCAGTCGCTGAGTACAGAGCTGCGGCCTTGCTGGAGGGCCGCCAGAGGAGCCCAAGTAGGTGGCGGCGCCCTTGATCCACTCGCAGGGTGGTGCGCAAGATCGCCGCTTTGTGTCGTCCATCAGGTCGGGGCCAATGCGTGGGCCTCCACCAGAGCAGGTTCAACAAGTCGCGGACTCTGCCGAGGACCGCCTGGTTCAGATCGCGCCTCGTGTTCAGCGCGTCGGGAGGACGCTCCGCAGGAGACGGAGGGCAATCTGCGAGAATGCAACCTGCGAGAACGCAATCGGACAGGGCAGGATGACATGAGTTCGGGCGGCAGTCAAGCTGAGCAGTCATCAGGCGCAGCGACGCTCGCGAGGGCGAGCCGCGATGGCGAGATGTCGGCGGCTGTCCGCCGTAAGGACAGCCGGAACTGCTGCGCCGCCGCTTCAGGGGCACAAGCTGCTCACGACGCCATCGAGACGGGGACCTCGGGCTCGCAAGGCGGCCCGAGGCGCGGGCGCGCGATGCTCCTGGGCCCCACGCGCGCAGTGGGCCTCAGCATGGCCTTCCGGCCCGACTGGTCTACCTTTGACTGCAACCTGGCGGCGGTGAGCCAGTCCATCGGTCGGCGGGACGCCCCGCGGTGGCTCGTTAACTCAGCGCTCGCGCGCCTGATCGACAAGGCCAGGACGCGCGCCGAGTTCGAGGAATGCATGGATCTCCTGAAGGAGGACTGCGGGCTGCGGTCCTGGGATCCCGATTGGAGGTACAGCCAGCGAATCGCGTCCGCGCTGGTGGGCAAGGCGCTGGCGCAGGGCTGGGGTGACTTGGCGCTGGACGTCGCCAGGCATGCCTCCTCCCTGCGCCTGACGGTGCCCCAGAGGTGTTTGGTCCTGCTGGGGGCCCACTGCAGCAGGGAGTGTCCGAAGGAGGCGGCCACCGTGTGGGCTGCCGCCAAGGAGGTGCGCGGGGGGCTGCAGCTGGGGCGGGTGGCCTTCAGCGTGATGCGGTGCTTCCTGGAGAACGGGATGGTGGAGGAGGCGCGGGCGGTGAACGAGGAGGTGCGCGCACTGGGCCTGCCGGCCAGGATGTCGCCGGGCGTCGCGGACAGCCTGGCCAGGGCACTCGAGGGCAGCAGGCCGTGGGTCAAGGACGGCAAGGGGGGGCCTGGAGAGGGAATGGCGATGCGGGGTCAGTGAGGGGCTTGGGACCATTCTTGGGGACTATTCTCGGGGACCATCCTCGGGGACCATCCTTGGGGACCATCCTTGGGGACCATCCTCGGGGACCATCCTCGGGGACCATCCTTG